GCGACGATCATATACAGAGTGTTAAAAAAGTAAACAAACAGATCAATCGCTGCAAACAATTAAAACAATGAATAACAGGAAACATGTATTCTTACTTACTGAAACCTATATATTTTAACCCGTGTAAATTTAGATCCTCTTTTTGTCAATTAATTTTTAATCTAAATAAAAATGTCTTTTCATCGAAAATAATTATTCATCGCAAAATCAATAAAATCACGCGAATATACAAAAAATATATAACCGATGGATATAATTGTTGGTATTTTTCCGGATATGATTACACGTATAATAAATTACTATCGTCAACGCAATTTTTTAATCCCTCCGGAACGTGTTCTGCCGGATATTTTTCGTTGCGTTTTGCAAACCGTCTGACCAATAAATCTCGCCGACTGGGAAACGTGATAATCCGAATTAGAGAGATACGACGATACCACCACTGCTGTACGACAGTGTCCAAATGCAAATTAAAGGTAAGGGTTTATTCCTATCCCGAGAAAGCAAGTCTAATAATTTGTCCAGGAGGCCTGGGGCAGAAGTGTCGCTAAGATTTACGAGCAACCAAAGCCCGGTACGCCGTTAATTTTACTTTACTCTGTAGTACATGACCAAAACACTTTCTATAAAATTTATACACTCCTAGACTTTAATAGAACATTTCGGGATAAACTTTGAACTACTTATATTTGTTGTCTGAAATTATTTCCTGTAACCGAGCAGATAGTTAAACGTTACGAAATTCACTATTGTTTTTCAAATCATCGATTAAGTGGTATGTTTTATTTTCTAATGTCCAATATTATCTAATGGAAAGTTTTTATTTGTGTGTTTTCACAAAAGTACTATACTTTTTGTAATTTTCATAATCTTTATGTTCAGCGTCAAAAAAAGTCTGTAATGATAGCTTGTAATTTCCCTATGGAACGCATCGAAAAGAACGAAGAGATAGAATCCAAGTAGTTTTACTTCAACATTTTTACTGAATATGCTAGTAGTGTGGTGTTGGTTAGTTTTAAAAATGTATACTTGCTTCTAAAATATTTTCAAAGATTGTTCTTCCTTGCAAACTACAGAAATCTCAAATACAAATTGCTTACTGAATTCTCATCTGAAACGCATGATCACTTAGTAGTATTAAAAAGTACCGTTTTGATAACAATTTTTATTGTATTGTCATTGCACATTTTTTCACGTAGTATTTAAAGATTAAATGAGCCGAGATCTTTTTTAAATACATTTCATTTTTACGTGCGAGCCGTGGAGAGTTTTACTCTGAAAATTCAATTTTATCGAATCATTCAGGTACGCTTCATTTGCTAGAGACTGTCTAACATATGTGATGATATTGTACGCTTGTTTTTTATCTATACAATATAAATAGACTCATCAGTCGTGGACACATCCGCATAAATGTTTGTCGTAGTATTTTAAAAATAATTTAATATTTTTAAACGATTTGTCTAAATATAGAATATTTATCTCGCTAAAATAGCATTCTAGCAGTTAATACATATTTTTCTCCTGTTCGGCAAGTTTTTGACCGTATTTTTTTGTTGTGCACTAAAACACTCGTTGATTATGGTAGTGACCTTTAATCTTAACCGCATAAACATGATCAACATCATAAATACCGAGTGTTTCGTGCGTTTAACCGGTATTCGTGTTCACTTAATTATTATTTTCTATGATTAAATGTGGGAATGGTCCCGAGAGTGCCACTTTATTTGTCTCCTCACTTGCGTGTTCTTCCGAATTAGATAGTGATAATTCTTACGGTGTAGTTTCCCTCGGTGTATATTTCCACGAAAAATCGCACCTTAGCACGAAACCATGAGTACAATCATGGAGGAAACGACTAATGTGATATAGAAGAAAGTACACGAGTATCACGTAGTCGTGGATGGTATAATGTATAAAATTAATGTCAAAAAAAGGGCTCCGTTTCTTCGACCCTTAAATTGTGTTTGCACAGTCCGCGCATTATCATTATTGTTTTTCTCCCGTTTTCATATGTGTGTCCTGAGTACTTATTTACATTGTACTGTACATAATAAATAAGAATTTGATAAATTACACGTAATATTTTCTCGAAAAAAAGTCAATGTGAAATTATATTGTTCTTAATCTACGCGAATGATAAAANGTACTGTACATAATAAATAAAAATTTGATAAATTACACGTAATATTTTCTCGAAAAAAAGTCAATGTGAAATTATATTGTTCTTAATCTACGCGAATGATAAAAAATAACGTTTTCTCTTGAGATAACTGACTTATACATTTATACTCATTTCAAAATTAAACATTCCATATAATTTTACTTTGAAATTTTAATAAACCGTTGTTTAATCAAAAAAATTATACTGTTGGATATTTCGCTTTTTAGCCACCGATAACTCTTAAATAACTCATTAAAAGTACATTAATAATACACTCATAAATCTACAGTTAATGTGAGTTTTCTGCGCGCCAGATGAAAGCACCGTGATAAATGGTCTTTCAGACTATTAACAAAAATATCGTTGAATAATAAAAAATGTAAGTTGTTGTGTGCTGAGGTTTTTTTAGTTTACGCATAACGTATAGGAAATTCAGAAATGTCACTTTTTAATAAACACGCAAAATGTTAGAGAGACTATTGTATTTTTCGAATAAATAATAACGAGTTAGGAAAATGTTCTGTGTAACGGATACGGGAGCAGTTGTTTTTATTTTTCTGCGGCAACTGTCATTTTGGGTTCCTGTCTAAATAAAAATGAACGTTTTGACTGTCTTGTTACTTTAGTGTTGTATGCGTTTCCAAAGTTTGCCGCTAAGTGACGTCGGGTCGCGACTGCAAGTAACGGCGTTGTCGTTCCGTAACTGTCTGTCGTTTGTCTTCACATTTAGGATTGAGATCTCTGGCAAAAAGCACCGCCCTCTCCTGTCGGTGGTTTTTTTTTTTTCGACACACCTCGTCGTCAATTGGGCGAAAGAGAAATTGTTAGAATCGTTTTTGGCTCACCGCCGCTGCCGGGTCCGTGTTGGTTTCGCCTGCGGTGGATGCTATGTGTAATCGCTGTAGATATTTCACCAAAGCGACCTACGTGGAGAAAGCTTTCGTCAGCCCTAAAGCTTTTTCCGATCGATCGCTGATGGCGGTGTGCTCTGTATTTATTTGTATGTGTATGTGTGTGTGTGTATAAACGGTGATAAATTAACTGGCCCTGCCCGTGCACCATTGCAGCTTCACCGACCGTCGGTCGCTGTTGGAATCTGTCCAGCGCATTTCGGGTGGAGGCTCGGAAGGTGACAAGAGAGAGAGCGGTGAGATATACGTCCGATTAAATGCGACTTGGATAAAAACGACACCCGGTCCGCGTTGTTGTAAAGGCCAGCCAAGTGATACGAGAAAACCGTTTGTTTGTATGCGTTGTGTATTTATTGTACAACGGCCGACCACCTTACTGATTTACGGTATTGCCGATTGAAAAAAAAAAAATGTAGAATTAAATGGATTTTTATTTTTTACAATCGCTACCGATAAAATAAAGTTTTTAAAAAATACTGTTGCCATACATATCGCGTGTGTTATGTGTATCGCGGAATTTTTTCTGTGCATTTTTTTTATTTATGTCGTAATCGATTCTCACTTGCTGTGTATGACTTGGAACCTGAACGCTTTGGCCGTCGGGAATAATACAAATAATTATTGCCCGTCGGCTACAGTAATAAAATATCCGCAGTGCCTACCACATGGGACACATAAAAATCCTCGTGGATATAATACAAGTATTTTGTAGTCGCACACTTGACGTTGCGTGTGTCCGATGATGGTTTTTAATCATTTGTTGTGATCGAATAAATACCGATCGATTGTGATTGAAAACGTGTTGTCCAGTTGATGATGTCAAAGACGAGATTTTGGACCGAGAAAACCAGTGTAGTGGTCCAAACCAAAACGAAGAAACCGCTTTGTAACGTCCATTTGCTGCCAGTCAATTGTCGACAGCAACGAAATGTGTGTGACCTTATGGTGGTCATCGTGCGATTCGAATAGAATGCGCGGTACTCTGCTGTTTGTCGGTAATTTAGGCGGCATTAATCTATTAAATGAAAATGTAACGTCACTGAACATCCTTTTTCGGTATAAAGTATACGATTCAAAAAACGTAATGCACCCCGATTGTTTTTTTTTCATAATAATTTATGTGCGCGCGACGTCGAGTACTGCTCGCGTGTCTCGATGGATTATTGCTCCAGCAAAGTCGCTGATTTATTCGAAAAAAGTCTATTTTTATTGAACTCTTTGGTTTTTAAACCGCTTAAAGCCTTAATTTACATAGAAACGGTCGTCTTCTGCTATATCCAGCTGCAGTAGTCCAAAAACTGATTTGGAAAAGTTTTGTACGCTTCCACAAACTCGGACCGATCCCCGACTTGGCTTGCAGTCGTTGTAAATGAGCGCGCCCCATGTGTTAAAAGCATTAAGGGTTTTCATTAAAAGGATATTGTCTTCCGTGCACATATAATACGCCGTTCATATATACGGACATCGGAGTGAATTTCGGTGACATCGACAGGTGTATAGTTTCGTACGACGACTGGGAGGATGTTTTATGAGCCCCAGGCGAGTCGTTTCGCCTGACTACGATACCCCTTAGAAAAACATTTGCCCAAAAACCGGAAGGGTACATCTTATACCATGTCGGGTAACGATATTCACCGCACGACCGTCGTTCATTAATTCTTAATTAAGTACCGCAAAACGGACGGAAGGAGCAGTCGTGGTAGTGCAATAAAAAACAGAAAGGGAGACGAATATCATACCCCCGGTGTCAGCTTAGGGAATTCAATTTCACCCAATATTGTTTTGCTTATCAAGAATTATTGCTCCTTTGTCGACAGAATTTTTAATCACTGCCCAATTCCCGACGCGTTTGATCGTATTCCTAAGATGCGTTTGACAATATGGCTGCGTACACTTTATTAATTTCTACTGTTTATTTATTTTAGAAACGAAGAAGACTGCAGAAGATGTTTAGTAATTACAGAAAAACATCAGAACGTCATACAATATAAAGAAAGTAAGTATTTAATTTGTTTTCTAACAAATATTTTTACTTAATTCCAGTTTACTTACTTGTCTACAGTGAATCACGTGAAATAAATTATAATTGTCGTTAATGTTGTACCATATAAATATATTAATAAGTATTTTTTAATAAAAATCATATAATATAATGTTTTATCAATTTTCTTCGACATTCTCTAAAATTAACTATCTTTATTTAAAAATAAATTAAATTAATAGTAATATAAGTTGACATTTATTTGATCTTTAATTTTAATTCTTTCCGTGGCGAATTCTATTTCTTTATGAAAAAAAAAAAATATTAATTTGAATGATAACTCGTTACATAGAAATTACACTTTTATATATATATATATAAGAATATATTATTAGTGAAACCTTTTTACGTGCGTATATTTTTTTGCGTTATTCCAAGATTTATAATAACAGTTCGTCGACTTTTTATGTTTTTAATTTACTGTATAGGAGAAAAGGAAAACGACTGCCGCCGTCTTCGCAGTTGTCGCAAACATTGTGCACCTTCATTATACCGGCACTCATACTACTATATTAATTTGTCAATAGACTCGTTTGACAATTTGCTAAAGGAATGTTGTCAGTGTTCACTGCTGCGGCAATATATTAAACTGCGTAGTTTAATTTATTGTTTTCCACGGCAAGTAGGATGCTGTAGAAAATGTCTTTAGTACCTCTTGCACGAGTTAAAAGTATAACAAAAAACTTAAGTGAACCAAATATATATATCGGTAAAACGTGATCGGTTTTTGCTAACAAACCCCGCGGACATCTGAAAATTCAGTCGCATAACTGGAAAATCTCTTAAAACCCTATATTCTCCTAAGTGCGCCATAAAGAAATCGGCGTGTTTTGTAACCCCCTGGACAGCGTATTACTCGGTACGAAAAATATTGACTAAAATCCGTATATATAAACACATTATTTTGTTTCTTGTTCATGAATATTGCATATCTTGTACGGACTCGTGTTTTTTCCACTTATATTCTTTATTTTTTTAGTAATATTTTCCCATATGCCGGGACCATTTTTCTAAATTATTGTTTTACGGTCGCCAGTATCCGAAACTTAATAGCCTGGACATAGAAAATGTGTATTCGTATGACTAAGAATGTACTAGTTTAAAAGACAAAAAACATACAAAACAATACCTGAATGTTTGCACTCCTCGTTGTTATCTTTATGAAATAACTTGGAATTACGATTAGGTAAAGAATCTTTTCAAGACCTTCGGATTTTCAATCGCTGTACAGCCCTTTACTTTCTTAGAGCGCTTTTAACGACCACTGCGAATTCTCGAGTTTGGTTGTTGAATCAGCTTAAGCCCCCCCGAAGTTTATCTAAATCACCCTCGTCCTATATTCTGCCAAGTCTATTCCTTAAATAGCTCTGGAAATCTTAGGAGAAACCATTAACTAATAGCCAATCCCGTTAAATATGTGTTGATGATTTACTGTGTCGCCCGTAGCAACCAATTGGAAACTACAATGGTGACGACAAGCTCCTGCATGGTAATTAAATCATACAAAGCTTCAAAATACATCACGTCCGATTAATCATCTAGGTACCGCTTAATTGAATCGTTTCAAACAGGATAACATCACTTGATAACGTTTTCAGTTCATGAGTTATAGTGAATGCTCTATTTTGTTCAGAAATCTTCACTTGCGGTAATGATTATTGCGTCAATGTTGAAGTAGCACATATACACAGCAGTAAAACTATAAATAACCTTGTCAATTTTTTAGTAATAGATTTTAATTAATTTTGATTATTTTTCGGCAGACATTAAGAGATTTAAAATAGGTAACTTTTTGCATTTAGTGTAATGTGCAAATATGTTTTGTTTGTCACTAAAAAATATTGGTTTACTTTGTGTCGGCGAATACATTTTTTTTTGTGTAATAATTACTTATAAAATATCACACGATAAAAAACGTTATTCGTTACACTTAATGAATTTCTTATGTATGTTTTCTTAAGTTCGAACAACTTTGACCATTGCATTTCAGTGCCGAAACTAATGTATATAATTGACAGCACAATCAACTAGTACTTATCTTTGATCGAGTGACTATGGCAATGAGTCAGCATTGCCAAATGCAGTTGCCGTTCTCTTTAAATAAGTCACGTCAATAACGCATAGTAATCACGATTATTTATAAATCTATATAAAATATTTATGGATGAAAATTGTAGTATCACATTATTTTTTTAATAGATTTTGAATAACAACAAATCAATATGTTAACAAATGTTTGTTTATTATTATAACTCTATTGTAAAAACTAAATGTTTCGTTTACTACAATATCAAATGTACAAATTTTGTTTAAAAATAAAACTCAAGTACCAAACTAACTTTTCCTAGATAAGTTTTCAAATATTTGTAATTTAAGAATTTAAATATAACATAGTCGTACAAGTTATTTTCCAATCCAAAAAAAAAGTTTATTAAAATCCCAATCTAATCGGTATTTCTGTACTTTATGAATTTTTAATTTTTTATCAGTATAGAATTCCCTCACCTCTATATACTTTTATGTCTCAGGAGACGTTTCATCTAAAAACTTCTCCTTGCCATCTAAGTTCCGGTCGTTAATGGAAAATCCGCCCAAGCATAAGGAATAGTAATTACCGTATAATAGTTGTAAATGGGAAAAAGCAACGTCCACTTGTGAATTATTTATTATACAGAAATCCGCATTTTCGTTTACTTTTCACGTTTTGGTTCTATTACCAATAATACTTGCAGCTACATTTCTCTTTTCAGCGGATGGGATTTATTATATTTATTTTTTAAATAATTTATTACCTCAATACCATAAGTTGTATTTTGCTTAGAGCTTATATTAAAAACATACATTNCTACCATAAGTTGTATTTTGCTTAGAGCTTTTATTAAAAACATACATTTTTTAACAGGGTTCATAACAAGAATATTAGTTAATCAAAAAACTACTTGGCTAATTCGTATGTCGTTAATATTTAGTTCGATGCATAATTGAGAAGATTTTGGTTTTATTATGTCGTATTATTTTTTTTTATATATATATTCATATAAATACTCCGCTCCTACTGGACCAATTTTGCTCAATGATACGTCAAAAGATCACATCATGTCTAGCTGAAACTATCAATGCCATAGTTTCCCTTCCATTCTCATAATTTATTTAAAGTTAAATATAGAGAAATGTTTCAAAAAATTATAATTATTACGAAACAGTTGATATTGAATTTTTTGGTATTCGCTTTACAATGAAATAACTTTTCAAAAACTAGATGTTAAATCATTACATTTTTATTAACAATATTTTAGACATTTACCATTTTATTGACATTCTTTCTTTAAAATTCAGTTTTTAACCTAGTTATCCGGAGGAGGTTTAAACCCATTTTAAAATGTTTTTATTTTTTATTTTTAATAATGAGATATTTAATAATGTAAAGCTGATATAATGTATTCCAAAATGAAAAAAGAAAATTATCTGTTAACTTATTATCTTGTAGTTATCGGCCAATTAGTCTAAAATACAAATAATTATCGATAAAAATGGCCGATATTTTAGTGTTTTGCATAGCAACCTTACATCTACATTATTCAAAACTAAATCAAACGAAATATTTTTTAATGTACTTTAAGATTAAATGATGAAAAAAAATTCCAACAAATATTCCTCGATGGCCGTTTAAGTAAAAAATAGAATAGTATAATTTAAATATTATTCTTGAATGAGTATTATACATTGCAATAAAACACTATTCGAAAAAAACAAGATTTGAATAATCTTTTTACCTTAATTTATTGAGTAAACTGAGGCCAAGTATCTTTATCATTTGTAGATTTTAAAGAAATTAATCGTTGGAAATGCACGAACTTAAAAATTCAAAAACTTTTCATTATAGTAGTTTCAATTTATAACATCATTATGCCGTTCAATTTGTATATAAAAAATGTATAACTGTCATCATATGGCGTACTTAGAGTTTACATTTAAGGAACTAATAATCATAACTATGATAGTAGCTGAACTTGTTTTGAGTGATTTTTAATGTAACACATGGTACCATCCTTTAAAAAGTTGTCTTAAATGTGTTTACTTACATCGTTCAATTTTTACGTCTATTTGGTTATGCGCCGCGACCAAAAAACTTTTTTTCCTCTTCTTCATTTTCCTTTTATGGTTGAAAAGTTCAAATGTTTGTCAATTCATGTCATGTGTTCCTAATTTTATTTTCCAAACCTTGTCTATCTCACTTCAGTTATCGCAGTGCGTCGACGGTGTCACAAAAATACGCCTCTAAGATTGCATGTCTGACTTTCACTGCAGCGTTGTTTATAATGTGTTTGTACAATAATCAGCACAAACTTATGAATCTCCTAATGCCATCAATTGGGCTCCGCTGTCGTGTCTGCCACTTTTTGATGGATACTTTTTGGTTACTACATTCAAATAGAGCTACCCCTTGTCGTGCTATTTGGAGATTATCTTTTACAGATACTGTGATGCGTTCGTAGAAACTAAACTATCCCCCGATTTTATCATAGTGGAAAAGTCTAAATAATACACCAGTATTGGATAATAATTCAGTTAGACACCAGTTCGTTCAATAAGAAAATCAATATATAGCAGTAACACACAGAGTTGCACATGTGTATTATTATATTGTATCCGAGGCGATAGAAGAGCGCTCCCCATACGTGCCGTAATGATATTGGTTTCGTGTCTCGAGACGTTTAACGGAAGTAGGTACCTCGAGACCTATCACCGTCTTCGTTAACATATACATTGCACTGTGCTATAAGCGCCCAAGTGTATCGACAAGAAGGGGTCCCAACACAAATTATGTCCTTGTAGAGCTATTTCTTTATGCATTCCACTTCCGCCAAACGATTTTATTTAGTAATGGAATACTTCGAGCACGTTGTACTATCTCCATAAACAATTGAAAATTAGATTTAACAATACGGTTGTACGTAGACAAACGGAAACAAATGAAATATAGACGTGACTAATTGAACGAAATGTGAACACTTTCCGTTTTTCTTAAAAACTGAATTCGTACCAAATGAATGGAGATGACTCCAAATGTATTGCTTTGTTTAATACTTAAATATTATTATTAAAACGAATAGCTAGTTCAAACCTAGCGCATTGATTTATAATTATTCAACTTTGTTTTAGATGCACTTTGCGAGAAACGTAGTTTAGAAGAATTGTGCGGCGAAATAACCAGTGATGCTCCTCTGTACTCGATGTTTAGGGTTGATGCTACACCCATTTCGTGTCCGTTCGATAATCTTCAAGCTCCATTTCAGTTTTCATACAGCCGAGGCGGATATACAGAGTGCAAGTAAGTTTTTCGTTTCGTGTACCATATTTTATATATGTGCATTTGTATAATTTACAATAATCGATTAACCGGTATACTCAATACAATAATATAATGCACAATTCGATACCAAAAAAAAAAAAATCATAACAACCTTTTTAACTAGTTAATTATCAGTTTTACATCCTTCTATTTCCCGAACATGCTACAGAGGTCAATGGCCCTCGTTCACATGTTAGAGAGCCAATTATACCCTCTGTGGCATAAGTTATAGCTTTTAGAAAAGGACGTTAAATATAAACATCCAATAATGTTATTTAGAAGTTATGAAAAAAATTAAATAATAATTAAACGATTTCCGTCTAGATTTCATTAAATTATTTGAAATTCTGTAATTTATATTCAAATATATATAGAACTTATTTAAATAGATCACTTAATGGAGTGTTATTTTAATACTTCTTGTATCCTTTTTTGTAAGTTTTTTTTAAAAATAAAGAATTATTACTGTAAATTTAAAGTAAAAATTATGAAAACCAAAAATTACACATTAGTGTGTCAAATTCATACATTTTTATCCGGTAACATAATATAATTTTTTTATTAAATTATAAAGTAACATTTAGAAAAAACATACTATTTCAAGTAATTTATTCTTAAAATTATTAAGCGAAAATCCAAATATTTAGTAAAGAATCGTTAAAATTTGTTTTAGATCACCAATGTCTAGAGCTGACTCGTGTACATCAGATTCTAGGCTAATGCTCAAATTCCAAGCGTGTCCAGATGTCCTCAACACAGAGAGCACAGGTATGAATTTTCAAAATTCCTATTTCAAGCTTATTTCAATGGCATTATGGTCTCTTGCGTCCTTTGAACTAATACAACTACTGTTGCATAATACATACCTTTTTGTTATAATGTGATTCTCCCACTTTGTTGTTCAGTTCGATACTGACAGGACACATGACGGATTTATTGAAACAAACCGTCAACTAAACGCAGCCGTGTTCCACCACCCCTCTTGAATTTATAATACGTGTCAAACATAAAGGACCAAGTTAATATTTTGATTGACATCTGTGACAGTTAACAATACCTAAATTTCTATAAGACTTAATGATTTCAATGTAACAATTTGATAAGGTTAGGTCTGTCCGTATCCAAGCGTTTATTATTTTGGTGAGTAGTAAATAATCAATCTAAAGAAACAAAAAAATTAAAAATGAATGCTGTAGTATCGATTACTTTTTGGAATTGCCCTCTCTCGTGGTGTATTTGTGTACTTAAAAGTTTTGTTCGTACCATATAATCATTTTCAGTAAAGTCCATATTAATATTTACGTGTCTATACTGTTTTCCGACTATAATTATTATCGTTTAGTTCAATACATAATGACTACAACTAGAGACTTTCAATGTAATATCTAGTACGTGTTTCAGTCCAACCAAACAGATTTGCGGTTGTTGTACGGTAAGGGGGAACGTGTAAAATTTACAAAGTTTTATTTGTTTTTTGGAATCTGGCTATATATATATATATATATATGTATACAGATAAATGTATATGTGTACCAATAACCCACCAGCTCCACGCGCGTAATCCATCATCGTCGGTAATCCGTTTAAGAGAAAAACTTTTATTACTTAACTCCCCAGCTCTTTCTAACCTAGGCACGCATTTTTAAGCTCATTCTTTGCGTTCTTCTCGTCTCCCCGCCATCACAATCTTATTGTTCCATATCTGAGTGTACGTGTGTTATTTGTTATTATTTTTACCGTCTCGCGTGTAATGATTTCCTCCGACGCGTAAGTTCGCATAAAACGAGGGATTTGTTATTTTTATGTTCGTTCCATGATTATATATCGTTTCATCTTGGCGAGCGTACGTTAAATCCCACACGAGCAAGCAGCCGTCGCCTGAGTGTTGATCGATCGCATGTGTGCGCTGTTGTTTTTTTCAGATGTTTACACAATTGAGGAAAACCGTTCTACCTTGTTGACTATTAGTCCACTCAAAACTGGACAAATTTAACAAAGCACTTGACACGTATTGCTTACGAATTAGACGCGACGAATTCCCAGATTATTGGTGTTAGAACTCATTAGAACGTTAAATATCAAGTTAATTGAGTAATATTTTTTTTCTTTTTTTTTATTTTTTTTTGTCACTAACCATTGAAGAGTATATAATATCACGATTTTTCACTTATTATGTAATAAACTATGTCTAGTATAATTTATTATAAAATTAAAACATAATACTTAATGTAGATTTTATAGCGTACGTTTCTTTTTTGATATTAAAACGTCTTTTCATCATTTGTTTAAAATTCAGCCAAAACCTTCTTTGTTATTGATGTTTTCTTAGTAATTTTCTCAAAAAATTTTCCCAGCCCTCTGCATTCCCTCGCTTTGTATTATGTCAAACTGTCTCATTCAATATACTAACCGCGTTTGCACACTTAAAGACCCTTAGGGATGATATATAGGCTACGGCAAAGTATTTCGAAGACAAGAGTCTCCTTACTCATTATTATTGTTATTTCCCCGTGTCACATTGGTAAAGGGTAATGAGGCACCTAGGCATCCGTCATTGTCGGCAATAATACATGTCATACCTTTTCTACCGTCATGTCGGCAAACTTCATACATTGTTCGAGAGAAAACCGCAAAAACAACGCCCAGGAACCCCCTACCGAAAATTTTAAAACCACCTCTGCTATTGTCTCGCGTGTGTTGGCTTTCTTTATTTTTTTAACAGTCACAGTCGGATTTATGTTTTGGATTTATTAATGGTTATGTGGTCTTGTCAAGTTGACGTTTTTGCACCTTAGACACTGAAGAATAAAAAGAAAACAATCAACTGTTGACATAACCTACTTGCAAATCTTACTCCGTTAGTTACGACCTCTCCTTTGTTTCTTCAATACAGTTATTATGTTCCCTGAAAATATGTTTGCTCTTGTGAGTTTATTTTAATTTAGTATTCAAGTCGTTCAATGTTTACGCTGATTTATAAGTAATGGTACCAAAGATTTAAGCACATTACAGCAAATTTGTTTTGATAAAACTTATTCATTAGAAAACATGTATCATGAGGACATTTTTTTTTTTTTAGTTCAATCATTTTGATAACATATTAATACATAACATTTCCTATAATATTTATATTAAAAATCGCATATTTTTAAACACTTTTATGTGTAATCAGTCTAACAATTTTCTAAAGTGTATTTCATTTGTGTTATTGATAATATACAAAAATAAAATTTAATACATTTATTAGCTCAACTTTTCAACTACTACATAGGCAAAATTTAAAATTGAAAATATTATGGTAGGAATTTTTCGTTTTAAATTATAATGCAAGTTAAAATATTCATTTGAAACTTCTTTTGCATAATACATATTAATAATACTCATAAAATGTACAATTCTTGTTAATACATAACTCAGAAATCGTTTTATAGATCATACAGAATGTAGTTAAATGCCTACAAACCTTTATAAACCGCATTTCATATAACTGACATTATTCGTAAACGTACAAAAGAATTATTTTCTAACCGATTTTCTACCCGCTTGTTTACCTTATTTCTCGTTTTCAATGAAGCCTATTGATTGTGGATACATAAATATCTACAAGGCGAGTACATGCCTTCTAGCAATTCTTTTGTTGTTTCAAATCAAAAACATNTCTACAAGGCGAGTACATGCCTTCTAGCAATTCTTTTGTTGTTTCAAATCAAAAACATGCAACTAGTTTTGATATTTTATTTATCTTTTTCTCAATAATCTACTTAAAACTTGGAAATTTATACAAACTATTCTGAAATTCGAAGAGATAGAATAGGTAAATGAGTGTATTTTTTNATGCAACTAGTTTTGATATTTTATTTATCTTTTTCTCAATAATCTACTTAAAACTTGGAAATTTATACAAACTATTCTGAAAATTCGAAGAGTTAGAATAGGTAAATGAGTGTATTTTATCAAATGTATCAAACGTAGAATTTTTATTTTAAATGAGTTCATAAGTCAAAAATGACTATAATACTGTCAATTTTATCCTACTTTGAATGATTCAGAGTGTCTTTTATTTTGTTTTCATCATTATCGTGTTGTTTTATTGAATATTTAATATCAATAAATCTATCAAAAGCGACATAATACACTTAATAACAAATAAAACTATGTCCTAGAATTATTTAAAAATTTCATTCAACGACTATAAAAGTTTTGGAGGATGTTAATCGTTAATTTACTATAAATTTCATTATATTGAACTGTTTGAGAATTTTAAAGTCATTCGTCGTTTTATTAATAAAAGAGTGGCTTCCTGAGTTTTATGACGTGTTCAATTATTAATCGTGAACTCAAATGTAATGTTGACTGTGTACAAAATGTGAAACGAATTGAACCACAAAAGTTTTTAATTCGATTTTTCAGTTATACACGAGAACGGTTTAATAACAAGAAATAATTAACTTGGAGTTGAGCGTATTCAACAATACCGTTTGTATAAAAAAATGAATAAATTCTCCTCTGTGTTTTCTACAGTGTTAAGAAAAAGTTTATTTCGTATTCTCGATAAAGTTCACATTTTGTGAAAATGAATTATTCGAGTTCTCGTGTAAAACTTATCACTTACAGTGGTGACTCCGAGTCTGTACGATTGGCGCGATCGAAACTTTCATCGTTAGATCTTAGGTGAAAGGGGTGACGGTACGTTTGTAAAATGTTACCAGACGAGTGAAGACAGTAGAGACAACAACAAAAATAGTATAGGGTGTTGGTGATATGATAAACATTTTATCGCAGATGTTCGCCTTACAGCACTGCTACGACTGCCGTCAAACTGCCACTTAACGAGACTTACTAACTTCACGAACCATCGCTGCTGTGCAAACGACAAGTGAACGGTTCGCACTTAATTTTTACTCGTCGTCGTTTCCGGATGTTAAATTAATGAACGCCGTGTTCTAATGCAACCCCTTTTACTCCATTTCTTATCAGACAGTATTACTTCCTGCATCATTCAGTAGCACGACTCTTACGAGCATCGTTCCCCTTTTGGGTAGCACGGTGTTATCATTCAATTAGGTCAAGTTTATTGATCTGGGATATACTTGTACTCCGACCAAACCTATCGTGCATCATGCGAAACAAAATACCGGATATAAATTAAAAAATAATTCTGATGGTAAAGAGGCGTGTAAACTTAAAACATAATCCTATACCATTAAAAATACTATTTATTTTCTCAGAATGTATTTACGATGTCCTATTTATTTCCTTTGTGTTTGATTATGATGACGGTTCTATTTTCAAATTATCATGACAATAGTTGCAATAATATTGCAACGTGTTAATTTTTTTTTTATAAAAAAATTTGTTATAATTCTTCTACTAACATGTACGTTTTTTGTTCAACAATTTAAAATTATTTAAGTTACTTATGCCGACGATATCAAATAATGTCAAATTTTAATATTCAAATTGTTTCAACTAACACCTATCTACTGAAAAATGACTTTTTTAAATCTTGGTACATTATACAGTAGATATTTCTTATTTTTACAACAAAACGTTTTAGAAAAAGTAAGCGAATAGCTTAATCTTTTTCAATACACCTGTATAATTTCATGAAATATTAGATTCGTTTGTTATATTAATTTTTAATGTACTCCTTTGTAAATATTTCAATTGTGTCCACATTTGTCCCATGTAGTATTGCTTTAAATTTTTTATACTGAATAAAATAGAGCTGCAAGTTTGTACAACTCTCTAGCGTTACTTAAAATGTAAATTCATTTTGCTTGTGGACCCAAATTCAGTACTATTTGGCTATGACCCATATTACTATGCGACACACGTTTTTTCCAAACTTTGAGCCCTTGACAATTGAAACGTACTTGTGTTTAACAATAGCGACCAAATAAACTTAATATAATTTTTAATCATTTTATAGCACGTTTACAAAATTCAATTATAAAATACATTTTACCTTTCTATCCGACGCTCTGGTTCTAGGCTTTCTCTTAAAGAAAACTATAAAAGTCAATGGTGTACACTTTCAAGTCTCTGATGTGTTTTTAAAGTACTACATAGCTATGTATATATGATTTATAGAAAAGTCTCATGTTATTATTTTATGTTGTTCGATATAATTCTTTATTTTATTTCTCTATGAAAAACGATTCCTCACGCGACCACAGAGTTGGTTGATGGTTTTTGGCCGGGTTAGAACTAGTGGGTTGGATGTACCGGGGAAAAAATGTAAAATATTATTTTCCTCTCTATTGTTTGAGCTTTCAGAGCTTAATAGAATTTCATTTCGTTTTGTTTTTTTTTTAAGCGAGGCAACTACGCTACAATACCGTGTGGTTCGTCGTGCTTTTGTCAAACAAACAATAAAAACTGCACATTGTATAATGTATATACACTAGTATACTTGTATTTATATGTATTTTTATAAACATAAAAGAAGCATAATTCTATGGGTCTTACATGTTTATAATAGTATTTTTCTAATATTTTACATTTAAGATGACTCAAATTTGTGTTGACCAAATTTTCAATTTTGCATTTGAATATTGAAATCATTTTGCTAAAACGGCGTTAGTAATAGGCAATTCTAGTACTCACGTGTAGTGTTTTCTAAAACTAAATTTTACTTGAAAAAATTGCTACTATTAACGTAACCATAATGAAAAAATATAATTACTGTATTGAGAAAAATAATTAGTTAATATAAGGATAATTACATCCATTATTAACTCTAATAAAATATGAGATACAGTTTTGTTAATTTATCAGTCTGGGAAAAATTGATGTATTCCATTAATGTTCTATTTGGTACTTTTATTCTATATTCATTTATGATTCATTCATTAATATTTATAAATTTACGTAGAATCATAGTGTTTTTTATTACTTTTTGATGTTATTAATATACATGAACTTCAAATGTAAACTGCTATAATTTTTTTTGTTACCAGAATAATTCAGTATTATTTTTTTACGACGCCAAGGCCGTAAACTATCAGCTTTTGATGCACAGATTTAGTTGATTAACCAATTGTGTGTCAATCGTAAAATTCTATTTCAAATTCTTTGCTCTCGTCAACATTCGTTCTTGCAAAACTGTATTATTGGATATTAGTAAAGGAAACATAAACCGTAGAAATATCAGTGATATTTTACGGCAAATTAGTCGTCAATTTCAGCAAATGTTTAATCTGTTATTAAATAAAATACATTTCATCTAAAATTGGACAACTAAGTTTTTCTAAGTGTCAAACGGGCAGTAACAAGTTTTCGATAGTTTTTCTTATATTATGGCAAAAGTTGTCAAATCATCAACGAATCGAAGAATCTATTATTTACAATTGCAATGAGTGCCTACTTGAAGTATACACCTCAAGCGGAAGTCTCAATTTGAAAGTCGTTGAACAAGATACGACCGTTAAACGACTCGTGAGAACTATGTCCCACTTATCTATACAAGTGTTGTTTGAATGACACATTTATAAAAACCAATCACTGATTTTCGAACCAGAAATGCAATTTTCTTAAAAAAAATACCAGTATATTTTTCAAATTATCATTGGTTTACTCACCTATTTCGTCTAATCTAGAAACTAGTAGTCATTAATTTAAAAAAATCAGTAGTTTTTGTATTTTGACGATTCACTTAAGGTGGATATTGAATAACCATAGTTCATCAACTAAATCGGACAGCAAAATTATCTTTTTTATATTATTATTATTTGAATAAAAAAAATTAAACTAATTTATTTAGGTAATACCAAATGCACAAATATTTTTCACCGTGTTTTATTTCATGTTAAGGTATTTAAAACTCGGTTTTCAAAATAACTATTTTAAAATGTTGTACTGAAAATGATAATATTAAATTTTATGTTTGTACGAGTTAAAAATCTTATTTGCGTGTCCTAATATTTTTTACTGCATACCTGGAAATTTTATTTTTTAATCTTTCTGATAAATATTGTTTTGTCGTATACTTCTGGTTTTTTATTTATCCATAAAAATCACTTATAATTAACACAATAACACTAATATTCCGAGTGTTAATGCCATTTATTTTTTCTTTATTTCAAATTACATGACTAAATTGTACTCACCGAACCGTTGTAAAAAGGGTTGTTCTACCCCTGGCGTATGTTGTTGTTTTTTTTTTTTTTTGCATGTCACATTTTGGGGAGATTTACAAACTTTGTTCTTTGTGTCAGTGTTTTTTTACAGAACATCGTGTTCTACTCCATTGAAAACATTTGAAATCGTATCCGGTTATGGTCGAGGAGGATAAATGCTTACGTATAAAATATATGTATGGCATTCGATCTATCAACAGAGAACACATCTCAAAAAAAATATATTACTGCGCATAGATAGATAGATGTTTTTCAATCTCAATGGTTCTCTCCGTCTATAGAACTTTAATACTGTTAGCAACACTCATAATATAATGCCAACTGTCTTAGACGCCCTATGTTTTACTTTTTTGACAAATGACATCATTTTTTTGGCTGATTTGTCGTTTGAGTTGTTATTATTCTCCTATTTCTCAAACATTCTAATACGTTTTGGAAATGTCAAACTATCTTTATTTTGATTTATAAAACTTTATTGTTGGCAAATGTCTCTACTACGTGATGTATCACTTATGTTGCGACTATAATTAGTGAAGTATCTAATTTCATTCAATCAGTGAATGTCGTATAACTTACATTTCAATTTCTGAGTTTATTCTCGTAATCGCGGTCAACGGCCGAAAACTGATGCCAAACTCTACTAAAGAGCTTTTATGCTCTGACAAATGTTATTAACATTGGTTTGCCATGTTAATGCTCTTATCGTTACAAATTTAACATTGATTTTATAATTTTCTAAAAAAAATCAATATAATTAGTTTACACAACTTGCGTGTTACGAATACGATTGAACTCATTTTATAGTTTATTATAAGGTTTTTATATAATATTGGTGTTTTAAAAAAACTTTTGCCTGAAACCATATAAAACCATGTTCATATATTGTCTTGTATCCAATCATAAATCGTTATATTATTACTACTGTACTTATATGTTCTCCAGACAAACGTTGTTCAATCTCCCTAAAACTGCTTTTTATTTCCTCTTGTGTTTTGATCTACCCCTTGTGAACACTTATCATTTGTACACAGCCCACATAAGTCTAAAGTAGGCACTACACTCTGCTAAAAAATATAATACGTTGTAAACATGGGTCGTGTTGCACAAGGCCTTTTCCCCCCTCTCATTTCAAGTGGTATATCATTAGTGGTAAATGTTTGAGCTACCTAAAGAATAAAATACCGTACTTAAAATTATAAATTGCTCGTGTAACATTTTGACTTCTCGCAACCGGTAAATAGCTCTTCTAGAGTAGGCCGTAATTAGTTTAGCATGTATTTCAAGCAAAAATTTCATACTACGCGCTACTATTATTTATGATGAACATTCTAATTTTAATGACCAGCAACGATTTAGGTACTAAAAGTTTTCCTGACGATATTATGGAATTGTTTTATGTAGATGTGAATTTTCAATGAAAGTGACACAGAAATAATTGAATCGTTTAAATTCTCTTTGGCTCGTGTTCAATGTTTTTTTTTTTTCATTTAAGAAGAAAATAATTAGTGTTGACATTAAATTTTCTCCACTGAGTAATACCTGAGAAAATAGTCTTTCGATCGAGTTTTAATTACTGATTTGATTTAATTATTGTCTTCATTTATTACAGACATTATATCAATAAAATGTACTAATTTTAAAAGGAACTAAAACGCGTTTAGAAAAGTAATCAAGTTGCGCTCGCCGAATAAATTTTATGTTAGTAATTTTGTTTAATTGAATTCGTTTCCCATGTTCCGGCTCGTTTTATAGCTTTTCCCAATTTCGTATATCGAATAACGATTGTCTAAGTATGTTATATTAAGTGCGCTGCATAGTTTTTTAAAGTTTATTTATAATTTGTGCTTTCAGTCGAAGAACTTCTTTGTTTGGCCACTTGGAAAGACGGTTCGACAAAGTACATGATTGGAAAACTAGAGCATACCCCAACGTCTACCGACGAAGAAAAGTACCGTTGCTTTGTAGTAGGCAAATCGACTGGTAATTCGTTCGAGATGGCTCAATCTGGTGACGCGACTTGCAATGGAATGTCATCACCGACCGATGGATCCAGAACTATGAAATTTCATCGAGGTAAGTCGTCAATCCAAATTATTCTTGTCATTTATTTCGTTGCGATAAAAATGTCTTTGAAATATTTCTATAATATTACAACTGTGTAACATCCTGTTGGGCAATGGTTCTTCTAACAAACTTTTATTTTTTTTTTTGATTCCCATTTTATAAAGTTTTTTTTTTTTTTTTTGTTTATTGGCATCGATCTTTAGCTGATAAAATGACACCAATGTATTGTAAACTTGCTGCAGCGTTGTTGTCACATACAACCATGACATGAAAATCTCATCGAACGGCGTTATTATATTTGTATAATAGTCTTAAAAGTTTTTTTGAGCCTCTAAGTGTAATGTTATTTTTTCGTGAGTACCTTGGGGGTGTGTCGTACTATGTCTAAAGAAAAAAAGTTTTTGATTTATGACACCCTCAAAACCGAGTGTCGCGTAACTGTTAAAAGTTTTCTTTTTTGGTAACTTTTAAACCATGACTAATGTCTAGCAAATTAATTCTTTTAAAGAACAATGAAAATATTCTTAAGTCATAGAATTAGAGATCGCTAGTAGACATTGACAAAACTGTACAAAATAAAAAAAAAAACCAAACTGTTAAATAAGAAAATATATTCATTTATTTAAACCCTTTTATCTTGTATCCAGAGTTTTGCGTCGAGAAAAAAAGTTTTCATTCAAATTGACTTTCGGGTAATTAAAACTCATCGAAAACAATTAATCCTCTCTGCATCAGCACCGCGGCCGCCACTTGTTGCAAATCAATTTCCATTTAACTGGAATAACCCCAAATTAATAGCATTAGTATTTGTTTTATTTTTTAATTTCAATCATTAACTGAAATTCTCGTTATTAACGACTGAATAGATCGAGTTTTTCTGAATGAATCTTACCATAATTGAATTGCTTTTATAAATGATACCATTAAATTATTTTAGAAACACGATTTCTTAGTAAATCTAAGTAGGTGAAATAAATATTAACACTGATTAAATAAAAATTTACATGAATTTTTTTTGTTTTTTCAATTAAATACCAGAAAATATTTTTAGTGTTATCCCATATAACTTCTCAAAACTTAAATTGATTTTTTTCGTTTTTGTTAATTTTTGAAGAAAAAAATACATTACATTCTGTGAGTTCAAAGGCACAGAATTCATACAATCGTATAAGTGTTTATATAATAAATAAATAACGGCATTCACCATTAGAAGTGCCAAATCTGAGGGTTAAAAATCTTAAATTAATCAACGTACATATTGTGCACTCGATCTATCGAGTATTTTGGCAAATCATTGGCCAATAGCCATTTTATAGGGTTCTTTTTCCTAATTTACTTCTTTACTGTACGAAAACAGCACAAATACTTCATATATGGGTCCTATCAAAAAATAGCAGTATAAAACATATGAAATGACCGTCGGGGAATGTCAACACACCAGGTGGTCTCAGTATTATTAAAAGCATCGATGATCCTTCCCTCGAGCATTGAAAGCTCATTCAATGTTTACTTTTTCATCGCCCATTACAGTTTTCTTCTCCATGTTTACACAAGAGTTATGAGATCAAAGTTTTTGCTATATTAATAACAATTAAAAATCATTTTACTTAGTTCTTTATTTTTCACAAGTATCACTTGAATTGTATTTTACCAATAACAATTATTTATTTTTTTTAAATACCCAATCCGTGCTATTTTGAAAATTCTAAAGTTTATACTGTTCGACTAAGTAAAATTCAGTTAAAATAATGATTTTTTCATAAAAATGTACTGAGTAAAGTTTAATATATTTTTAAGAACTAAGTATGCTTAATATAAAGTTTTTTTTTTTTTGTACAATAAATTTAGTAAATTAACATAGCTTATACAAATAAATGTAACTGAATTCAGCTCTTTTTTTATGAAAAAATTATTATTTAACGAAGAATTTAGTAATAGTATTCTTTATAAATCACTTCATGGGTCTTTATATTTCATAAAAAAAAAAAAATGATGTATATGTGTCCTAATAAAGAATCAATGTTTCTTATCATACTGCGTGTTGAATAAATGGCTATTTTTAATTTTTTAATTTTAATCTTATGGTTTTGGTACAATATTTATTCTATGCATTAATAAAATTCTATGCACACCTAACTTTTAAAATGAAAATCCAATGTTAAATAATTTCTATAAAAAAATCAAATTAATTAATTACATTAACTAAATTTTATTATACACTCTTATTTTATTATGTCCTAAAGCGACTTGATAATATAAAACAATTTTTATGTATTAAGAACTTTATTAACTTTCTTCAAAATCTGAAATAAATTATAGCCATATACTGTATTAGGCAAAAACACATTTTAACATCCTAAGTTAAAACTATAAAACTTAAATTAAATTTTCCATCCAACACTTTTTTTACTAGTTTCACGAGGGCGACTATATTGCCAAAACCATGAAAACAATGTTAGTCAGTTTTCAGCTTTTATGGTTGTGACATTACCCGAGTTTTATGATTCAACTGCCTAAATTCCTCCCGTGAAATTTCAATTAATTTGACGTTTGTCGGTGTCTTTTAATTTTCTTGACGGCTATAGAACGATGTTGGTCACCGAGTTCGAACGTTTGAAGAGTTTTTATAAATAAAGTCAATGGTGAAGACAAAAAAAAAAGGTTGTTATTTAAATTTCAATAAACATCATTCTTGATTCATTTGTTCGTTTGAACGCCAAGAGTTCTCGGGGAAAAAAGCAGTTTTAGCATTTTTTTTTTCTACTAGAGTGTGATTCGTATAATTTAAGAATGCGTGTTCTCGTTTCCACTTGAACGTATATTGTGCTGAGGAAAAGCGGTGACGACATTTAGTTTTTAATCTTCAAAACTCAACTCACAAGAATCTCTTGGTTGTATGTAAAAGTTCTTGAACGATGCGACATTATGCTAAATTATTTATTGACTCATCCAATAAAAGCGCAATACCTAGAAGTGCTTTCTTGACAGAAGCAGTTGACATCATGACCAAGGCCATAAATTATTTGTTCCTTTATTTTTAAAAACAAACCTCTGAATCAGTCGAATATATATAATCCCGTTGGAAGTTTTTCGTAGGCACGTTATCATATTATTTAAGAATGTTTTGGATAATAAATCATTTTCTTATGTCTTAAAAGTCTCATAAATTAGATTTTAATTAAACATATTGCAATACGTTGTTTTCGCTTGAATGTAGTCGTTCATTAAACTGAAACAACCTCATCTATTATTTCGCGCTTCTTTTTTTGTATGAACACTAATTACATTAATTTGACAAATTGACTGTTGTTTGTTAATACATTTTTTATCAAATTTAGGTATTCATAGCATTAAAACTTAGTAGTTCCAATTAAACATAAGTTATAATAATAATCGGATACTATAATGTGAAACGGACAGAAGTATAATACCTTAGTTACATAATTATTTTGTCGTTAATCAACCGTAAATACACCTGCTGGTATATTGACACTATGTTGGCTTCCCATGAGCTCACCACAACATTATCAAAACTAATTATAATAAATTAATAACTAAATAGTATACTCTCGTTAGTAGTTTTTACTTTTGTATATATATAAACTAACACATTGTACTCAAAGTGCATTACTGATATATTTTGAAGTACTATCAAAATTTTAGTGTAATAACTCAAAAAACTTAGTTTTGAAATAATCGAGTTTAAGATTTGATATACCTTCCTTGGATTTGGTAATCTATTATTAATAATTTGATTATCTATAATATATTGTAGTTGAAAGTATAGTATTTACATTGAAATACACTAGTGTGTGCTGTAGAACGTATTTTTTATGACAGAAAAATATGTGTAATTCAAATTTGACAGTTTTTTTAGTTACTACGTTTGCGTTTTAATACAAAAAATTATTTCTGTTTAGCGTTGTCTATGTAAATGTTTTGAGATCGTCACATTGTATTCGCCTAACTCTGATATCGATTTCTCGACGTTTAATGTTTGTTAGTTTTTCTTCGTATAGGAAACATGAATTCTGTCCTTCCTTTTCTAACAGCCTTTACTCGACTGAAGAGTGAACATATCGTTTTTGGACCCTGTCCAAACTTCATACGCGGTGTCGATGGTGGCAGAGCGTGTCCCCAGAGCGGAAACGGGAGGCTTCTTGGATAGGGGTTGAAAAAGGATAGGCCGAAAGATAATAACGGAGAGAATGGAAAAAGGAGGTGCGTACAAAAGTGGTAGTGGATGCCATTATACAAAATTAAACATTCTCAGCGGCCAAGGGGTCTTTATCACACGACCATCTTAGCCACCATCACCTAAAGACGGAAAAGGATAGAACGATCGGTAAGGTGAGTATAATAGGAATACGTCAACCTACGCAGTCGGAATGGACGAGATAAGTACATGCCAGTGGATTGTGTTGTAATAAATGAACCGCGAAATAATATAAACGCCTCGATGTGGCCGTCCTGTCCATAGTTGTAGAATGGCAGAGTAGGTGGTTATACTTAACACAAGGGTTAGGTGGTAACGTGGACGACCTGTCGACTAGCGATAACGCATTTCCTCAACAGCTTGCCTGACGATGACAAAAAAAATACAAATAAACATTCATCTGACGTCATCACATAACTTGGTCACACTTGGAACGATTTTTTTTTGTTATCTGTTTTTATTAACTTATGCCCATATAATAGAAAAGAAACACTCGTATTTTTATCTACTCGGAACCAAGCATAACTACTTTACATCCTCCTGTATAATTCATCATAAAAATTATTGTATTGATTAAAAATCATAACGTATAGTATTATACTCTCTGGTTAACTGTAATGTACTAATTCTTGTGTTTATTTCGAGTCTTTTTCACTATAATATAATAAATTATTGTTTTTAAATAAAATACATGTCTTTCTATTTGAAAATTCCGATTTTTAATCGTTTTGGATTACGAATAAAATCATAATAAATATGTTTCATCTCGTTTACCAATTGTTATTTTTGTTGTATGTAATCTTATTTATGTCCATTTTTATACTATTTATTGAATTTCGTTGACATTTAATGACAGTGCTCTTTGAACCAATTGCTGGAAGTTAGCAAAGATCATTTCAAAGTTAGAGTAGGGGACTACAATTAAATCTGCCGCAAATAGTAATTTGGTTGCTCGGTCAGCTGGAAAGTTAATTGTTTTTAAGCTACGCCCCCCTGCCCTTATCGCTGAAACTTAACAGGTACCGTAAATCTTTTATTAGACTAGTGGCGGCTCTTGGTGAACTAAAAGTTTATGGACGTTCGAACTAATATCTCTCATAGAAAATGTTCCACGGGCACGAGGCATCTTTAATCGAGATTGGTTGTTGTTCTTTATGCCCAAGTTTCAAAAATTATTTTTAACAAAGTTAAGCGACTAACTCTGTCACTCACATATTGTACAGCTTTAGGCGCTTCTACTGATATGATGTCTTTGTAATTTCCCCCTAAAATGTCTCGCTGCGTTAAACATAATTCAAATAACTACTACTTACAAACTTGAGGTGTAGCATTTTCAAAAATTATCTCTTACCATCTCAATTGAATTTTTATTAATCGTGAGAGTAAATCTTGTTATCGTGACGTAAATCGGGAAATCATCAGGCCAACGACACTGTTAAGTTCTGTCATTACCACCGTATCGTTTGTGGAATTCACATTTTCGTTTTGTTTCCCGTTGTGCTTCCGTTGTAGTAATAATGGCTGCGGTGACCGTCGAGAATTCTCAACTTGCCAGTGTTATATAAATGCGTTTAGTATTAGTGAACACGCACCGGTAGTACGGTGTGCAGCCATTACTTTAGATGCAAACCATTAGCAGAAACTATCCGGTAATCGAACTTAATGCTGCTTCTGACCATAATAATAATTACCACTACTGTTTGGTAATGATTATTGTCGAATTGTGTACACAACACAATGTTTTGGGTCAGATAAAGTAAATGAGAGCACCATCAACAGAAAAAGAATATTCATCAGCCGGGGTAGAGTAAAAAATTAGTTTTAACTTGAAATTGTTAAAACGATCCCACCAGGGTTAATAGTTTCTTCTGACATAAAAATAAAAACTATTAACTTGAAAGTTGGTTATTTTAGTTTTTCCGACTCGGAAACTTGAAAATGGTCTCTTCTGCTTTTAATTGGTGTACCGTTACCTATTTTTTTTTCTAAACGTTATTGGTACACAACCATTGCACTCGATTGTTTACTAATAAATCATTTGCCAGAACAATTGTGTCTGAATAAAAATTTTATAATAATTGCCGTTTCGTTATGATAAACTCGTATCACAATTTATTATTAAAATGGCCAACGATAATAATAACTATAAATCATATAGTCTCCATTAGCTCACAAGTTGTATTCTCGACACGCAAATCAAACATTTTCCGTATCGCAGTAATTATACCTTATCTATATTATATTGGTTTGTTGCTTTCTATTTTTTATATGCAAATATGTATATTCGTCGTGTTTCCTTTGTATAATTATTGTTTTTGTTATAATAATCATTGTTTATTGTAATTTAGTTTATACAGTATCAGCGTTTGATAAAACTTTCAATGGTGGGCGTATTATGAAACAGTCAATAATCAATCTTATTTTTAACTTTTTATTAGCAAGCCAAACAAATCAGTAAAACTAACTACGTAGCAATCAATAACATAATAAAAAAACCGAACCAATCGCGTTTGTCTCAAAAATAACATAAATAATACTCAATTCTAGTTATAGACGCTAGATTCTATCTGATGTAAACAATTTTTTTTTATTTTCTGTGTAGATCAACGGTTTTGACGTTAAATCGCCAGTTCAGCGGTTTTAATCGGTTTAAAATATGTTTATGCGTCCAACTATGCGTAGTCTATGTTAATGGACTCCATTTAAACTTATTAAAGGGTTTAATTGTCAGTATGTAGACTATTTATCGTATAATGTAGGCCAACATGCTTTTTTCTTGTTGCTCAAACCACACAAGTATTAGTGTGCATCTAGTCAATCCTCTTTAATATTTCAAAAATTTATATTTCATGTTATGTACATAAATGAGTGACCACTTGTAATTCGGCGAATTCAAAATATGCGAATTATTAGTTTTGAGTGGATGTATAAATAATTATATAGGACATAAAATTATAACATAGTGCTATATTTTATAAAACTAGAAAATTGAGTGGTAAAATCTAAAATAATGTATTACTAAAAAACATTACAATGGTAAATCGAGGAAAACTTGTTTGAAATATTTAGTGCGATAGTTTTATTTTTTAATTTTTTTCGGAGTACTGAAGTTAATAATTTCGATAACCAGGAACTCCAATAAAAATATATTTAATGATGTAATATTATGATCATTGAATATTTAGGAAAATCCATTAGAATGCCATTTAAACAAATAAATTTTCCAAATAGCATTCGTGTTTTTATTGTATACTTGCAAATACACCTATTGTAGTCAAAGGTTGATGATAGAAAGATAAAAATTCATACTCGTTTGTTTCGGCTCCCCCTCTTTATAAATCGCCTGCTGGGGGTTAATCACCGAAGTGCTTCACTCAGTTTAAACGATGGAAGCACATTGTGGCAATTTAAGTTGTCGATATCGCCATCTCTAGGGGAACTGTTAAGAAGAAGGGATACGTCTCACGGTTAACGGTCGCTCATTCGTTAGCAGCCACGACAAATGGCCGTTTAAAACTTTTTAATAACCCTTTCTGGTAATAATTTTTTTTTCTTATGTTATTCGAACAAACTCCCTACACTGCCCCCATCTTCGGCCGCGGAAAGCCAACAAATGATTTACAATATTATTGCTGGGAAATGTTTCGCGGACTAATAATCAATCCGTTTCTTTGGGGTGAATTTGTATGGCAGCATAGCGATACCGAAAACTGAAAAAGTGGATATCCATTGCAGCTAACAAAATGTTATTGTTCGTTATCGCGGTGATGGCTGAAGGTTTTTCCTTTCGTCCTTCCGATATTATTAATGTGTGTGCGTACACGTTCAATAACGTCGGAGCAACCAAAAAAAAGTAGTATTTCCTTCAAAGGTTCCTCTCAGCTTAATCGGTGAACTGTGAAAGGCGTACGCAGACTTACGGTGGAGACGTGTTTGATTCCTTCATTTTTTTCCTTAAATCACAATATTAAAAAAAAAAAAATCACCGTTATATTTTCTTATTTTTTAGCTCTACGCATCGACCTTAGATTAAAAATTTCCTTTTCGGTTTACTGAACGGATATTTTTTTTTATTTTTATTCTAGATATCACTCAAAAACATTGCCAGCCAAAAGGAAAATTTATCGATTACAAAATGTGTACTTTTAGTAAAACGGGTCCATAACTACCTCTTTTGTATATACTTTAAAATAAATATATTTAAAACTCCGTCAAAGTATTTCTGTATAAACACAATATTATTGTTAATGTCACATTAATATTAAATTCTCCTTTCGTTTACAATAAAATAAATCAATATTTACTTTTTATATTAGGATAAGTTGAAAAGAAAAATTTTCAATATTCCATTAAAAACCCATTGACCCGATTTATTTCAAAAGTTTTGCCTATGTATTAAGTAATGATCCAGAAGAAAGTTAATATTTTTGCAAGTTTAATCAACCGTGTATTAGTATTGCAAATTGATGTGTTTATTTTGTATTTGAAAAATTATTACCCTAAACTGTCGTGTATTTCACTGCTAGTTGAAAAATATCTTCTAAGAAACGGTATTAAATTTTCTGGTGGAAATTATTAATATTGTTGAAATATTATACCCAGAACTCGAAATCTTCAAAGGTTTCTATTTACAACTAAACTATTTTATACCCAGAGAGCACTAAAATTGTTATAATATTTATAGAACAATCTAGAGCTTGAACACAATACCATTACCGTTAGACCCCCGATCGCTTTTTGAAAACACTTAAAAATTATAAATTTTGTTGGAATCCTTTTAGAGTTAACGTTTCTAGGTACGCTTGGGGATTTTATCTTAAAGACGGCGATTAATATTTAACTAGCCTAACTTGTCGGTATTACTTATACCCCAGTGTATAGGAAGTCGCATTAAATAAAAATAACAAAAGCTGCAATTTCTAGTTTCTTGTGTTAGTTTTGACTATAACGTTTCGCCGTAGTAATGGTTACAGACGTCATAACACTAAACGCATTTGCTGATTAAGTCGTTTTTAAACGACCTCTATTTCGCCTCTTATCTCACACAGACTGCTGTGTCTTTTAATGGTTTTTTTATGTTAAAACACTTCTCCTCCACATATTTTACCCCTCCCGTCTTCCGCGGATTGATATCTAACACAAAACCGCGTAAAACTACCTTTGAAACGACGAACAAATTCATATTAATACTTGATAATAGTGTTTATACTCCCCCTCCCCCCCGTACATTTATGTACAAAAATGTATTCGTGTTATAACCGTGTCGGACAAAAATATTGCCGCACGCTATGCCCACGCCTTTGCTTTTTTTGTAAGTAGTCGGCGCAAGTATTTGGCAACGATAAATTACTTTTAATAGCGGCGGCAGAACATAACGATAATCTTTTAACGTACTTCGAGGAGTACCCGTAATTTATGTTTGCTCGTCAATGATTATTCAATAATCCAACAATTTGTAGCATTATCGAAATTTTGCAAAGTAGTTGTTTGAAAAAAAAAAGTAGAATCACCCCTTTCATATGTTGGACACGGTGTTTTTTTTTTTTCTAAACACGAAGTATAATTATTTATAAGTAAATAATAATTAATTGATGGCTAAATGGGTTTTGCGTGTTGCGCATTCGTTGTTGTTATTAATTTTTTTTTTTATTACTTTGTTTTTACAGTGGAGAACAACCACCATCACCACGGTAGCGGTTCGGGTTGCCGGTACCCATCGTGGTTAACCGAACACCACACCTGGCATTCGTTAAACCACGGCCATGTATACCATTTCTCCCCCAGGAACGGTACGCTGAGAAAAAGCGTTCCCGGCGCTGGGCCCGACCACGACATCCGCGCCACTTGCCACAGGGTACTCAATGTTACCGACAACAAGGCGTTGATCGTCACACACTACACCATCGGATGGTAAGCAAACAACATCGTGTTAATATTTTTATCTCTTAGACAAAAAAAATAACGACGACGTGGTGTCGTGTTACCGTCTCGCCCTCCGCTCCGTCTTGTCATCATCAGACGACTCGTACGCGACAACGAGGACTCGAGTTATTCATGTATTTTTCCTTCCCCAATGTTTAATGTCGTGTTATGAGAGTGTTTCGTCGTACGATTCATAATTTTTTTTTCCTTCACGACCACCACCTCCTCTCGTGCCTACTCACGTAGATATACACATGCATTATGCACGCATTCCACCGGAAAACATTCGCTCCAGAATACTTTCAACCGTGTCAGTGACGGCAGTTCGTATGAGTAATCAACTCCCGGAGTTTTTGTGTTGATTTTTTCCACATTCTTATGCGGACGGATAAAAATACTGGGTGTTAACATTTTATTGTCATTATTCCTCAGGAGTACTTGAAAAGTTCTTCGTCGCGCTCGGCTAGCAAAACATATTAAACTGTACTACAATGGGTGTGTGTGTTCGGCAAGTGCACAACACAAAGAAATAATTATTGTTATGACGTGGCAGGGTAACGATTTTACGATTCCAAAACGCTAAAATATTCTTCTTTTACTATAATAACAATTGTTTCAGTCGTATGGTTATCAATAAACTAGCGACGTCTCAAAATTATGTAATATTTCCTTATCTTACATGTTCTGTTTTTATTTCTTTTTCACTGCGCGCATCACAAAGTATTGTTAAAAAAATTTTCTTACGAAAATACTAGAAATTGCTACTAACCGCTGTGTGTATAAGCTGTTTTTAATCAATTAGGTAAGGGTTTGTTAGGGTTAGACGTGATTGAATGGGGTGATAAATCATCATTTACCCCAAAAATGATGAATTTCTAAATATTTCACTCTTTTATGAACATCGAAGAATTATATAAATTGCAATGTTTTAGTTAAATTTCGACGATAAATATTGCTGTAAAATTTAATCTCTAATAAAATCTTTTTAGTACAATCTCTTTAATAAAGTTTATAAATTAATATCAGTTAATGATTGAACAACGCCGAATAAATAATTAATTATTAATAATTGTCTTAAGTAACAAATTATAATTTATTATAATATTATTTATTACTTTTAACGTTTTACTGTTCTAACTATATCTTTTTCCGTTTAAACGAAAAATATATATTTCCATAACGATTTACTAGAAATCTGAATAGTGTTTTGTGAACAGAGAGATTAATTATTAGTGTTTTAGTTTATCATATTTGAAATCGAATCAATAACAATAGATGTGTCGATAAGACTAACATTACACGTTAAATAATTCCATGCAAATATTTTTTGGAAATTTCAAATTGCTTTGATAAACTGTGAATGTATTTTAAATGTATATTATTTTTGTAATTGTATATACGGGTGTTGTGTTAAAGTAATTCTGAATATTTTATAGTACTCCATTAGTATTCAATAATGTTTAGTTGGAGTTTTACCGTCAGGGTTTACTCACACACCTATTACGATTTTCAAACTTTATCAAAGTTCACACGTGTACATAAAAGGGTCAATTGTATTTGTACTAAATAAAATCATGAACCTTCCTCGTTCTCCTGTTACATATATTCATTTGTATTGCTAATATTTAATACTTTTTTAAATGTTACCGTGTAGTAATGAATTAAAACTTTCGCTGTCATTTAAACCAACTGACAGCTACTGTTTTTTTATAATTTAACTTTATAAAAATCAATCAATAATAAACAAACATTGAAAGTTTTAAAATTAATTTCATTTAGTCGATTTTTATGTTTTAGTTAATTAAAAAATGTATCTTTATACCAACAACGACTATTTCATATTTGAATTCGGTATCTTTTACAAATAATTTAACTGTAAATTATTATGCCGTACAGTGGAGGATTTATTTCAATCGTAGTCGGCATTGCCAATAATGTTAATTAACTAATTCAAAACCAAACACAAACGTTTTCTACAATCCGAATTCTATTTTACTAATTAATCAATGAATAGAGTATATAATAAAGTAATGTTTATGTTATTTGTTTTGCAGTCAAAGCGGATATGCTTGCATGTGGTTCCATCGGCGTGACAGTCAAGTCGTCGAAGTCCAAGAAAGTGGTATGTTTTATGCGAATTCAATTAAACTAGTTGCTCTTTGAAACTAAATAACTCGATACTAATCAACAGCGTGTCGAGAATAAAACCGAATGGTGTCGTTGTGTATTGTTTATGAGTGAATTGCTTTTAAAAGTTTTTACAGTGTGTGCACGTTAACTTGACTTGGACCGACAGGTGTCAGATCGACAAAATCGGTCTAGAAAACTGACGAGAGTAATTAAAATGTTTACGTCGAATTTTTGGCGGCAAACTTGTCGCAATAAAATTGGAATAGGACACTTAAAGCTTATCGCACAAAAGTTTATTCGTCGTTACCCTACAATGAATGGTTGACGTTTTGCGAACTTTTCACTTAGTTGTGCGTTGATTGGACGTGAGACGACAGATAAAAACTTATATATTCCTTCGCCTAAAGAGGGTACAGCGACGCCAAACAAATATTAGAAGAGCCTTGGCGAGGGGGTGTGTGTTGTAAATGTTTCACGCCATAAAAACCATAACGGCCCAACGTATTGGCACGTATATTATACAAGCCGGTTGTAAATGTATAAGAAAATTATTATCGTTTCGTTTCATCGTATCCTTAACCTTTTTTATTGCGCCTATGACGCTAAATCCCAGTTGTAATTTAATTCACACTAAGTGTTAGCGGTCGACTTAAATGTGAAAGATATAAAAAAAAAACTCTCTCCTAAAAAATCACCGTTTCCTCATATATAAATTCACAGGGTGGTCAATTCTAAATAACTTTTGATTTCAAATTTAAAAGTGTTTATTTTCTTAACCACGATTATTTGAACTCGATAACCGTTTCTACTGCACTAAAATGCTACGCTCACAAATCACTGGTTCAATTTATTCTGCGGTATTTTTCTCTTTTTTTAAATGACATTCTTTATCCTGAGTGAATTTCAATTTTTCTTTTTCCATAATATTCTGTTGCCAAATACCGAATTTCACAATCTGTCCGTGTGTTGTTTTAATATAAAAGAGAACTCGTACACGCTCAAATTAAAAGGTCAACTTGAATGAAGCTGAAACGACAGCCAACGCCTCCTCGTTCCCATAAAGGTTCCTTATAACCCACGCGGCTTTTGTTCGTATACGACGTAATATATTAATATATTTTATTTTCCTGGAAACAATGTATGCACGAGCTTTAATATCGAAACGCAATTTGCTGTCGCTATATTTTTAGAAAAATAACGCCGCAACACTCGACCAAGGAGAACCGCCCTCAAAAAAGACCCATATCAGTCGTCTTGTAGTGTACGCGGTCCAAGCCAGACGCCCACCCCCCGTCGGTATGAACGCTGTGTAATATATACTTTTTTTTTTTTTTCTAAACGATTTCACTCACCAACGACATATGAAAGTATATACATTTATGTATGTGACCAGTGCGTTGCCGATGACCATTTCTATAGTAAAAACGTGCTCGTTTTCGAATTTCTAGTGCCCTATAACGTTTTGGGCGTTAACGGTCCCGAACCCGTTAGTCTTCAACGACTAGTACACTTTTTTAAGGACCTTTTTTATTATTATTATTATCGTTATCCCTTCGTCCGTAGTCGCCGTTTTTATTCACATTCCTTTTGGACATTATTGACATAGAATTCCTCATATGCTTCGTATCGACTACTACAGCTATTCTTAAGCGATTACGTTGCTCTTATGCTTATGTGCGTTGTGCGCCTCAATCTGATGTATGTGGTGTGTTCTAACAGGACTACACGCTCTGATGGCGGTGGCGAATCCCTATTATTTTTTACAGCCGTTTGTCTTGTCTCTATCCGACGTATTTTATTATTATTATTTCCGTCACTCGCTCCCTTACACATAACATATACGTACAAAACGGTTGTCGTCCCTATTAGGAGGTACAGTAATCTTAGTTAAACCGCCTCGTAAGTTTTCGGTCTATTCGTCGTCTGAAATTTATTATTGTCTAAATGACCGTGACAATGTTATAAAAACGTTATGCTTTCGAAGCTTCCGACAGAGTTTCTCCGGCACCTGGGTGGCTATCGAATATCTTCAAGATGTAAACGATTACAGCCTCCGGGTACAGTAGCCAGTTTTCAGGCTCCCGAATTGCAGTAACGCGGCTCCGTTATTACTTCTTTCGACGCCTTCGCTGATATATGGGCAGCCCTCGAGTACAATTCTCCAGGACGACTTCATCTACAAAAACAATTGTTTTTACCGAAGCCTATAATCAGTTTTCTAAATTATTCAAGAGGTCGTCATTCAATTACACCCTATAGTGTTTCGATGAACCTTGTCTTGCATAATTTATCACGTATACTTTCTAAAAATAAGTTTTTATTTTAAATTGAAAAAAAAATGTTATTTTTTAGTTAGTTTCCTGTATTGTGTACTCGAAGGCAATAATTTTCCTAGATTTCCATTCAGATCTATTTAAACTAATTCGTCAAAAAAGGGATTGATCGATTGTTAATTCTAGTTACACACAATTAAGTTTTTCAGCACATAACTTTCAAATCCTTTGTTTATTTTATTGGTATGATCAATACTGTGAGTTTTTTGCTCGATTAAAAGTTATTAAAAAGTATTTTTTAATATATTTCGAAAATCTAATTTTTCTTCGTCATTTATTAATATTTAACCTTTGCAACAACTAAAAACCGTGTACAATTATTTTATTTTTAATGAATGAGAATTTTCCTTCTTAATTTTATATTTTGACTTGAATACGATTTTATATTAACAAAACTTGTTTGTTAATATAAAATCGTATTTGNGCAACAACTAAAAACCGTGTACAATTATTTTATTTTTAATGAATGAGAATTTTCCTTCTTAATTTTATATTTTGACTTGAATGCGATTTTATAAATCAAGTTATAGNCAAAACTTGTTTGTTAATATAAAATCGTATTTGATTTGCGTATTACAATATAAACATGTCCCGATATACATAAAACATTGTTCAGAGTTCAGTAAGATTGCACATGTGAAAATTCCAACACGCCAATAGCATTGAATAATTTTTTATAGGCACATGAGCAAATATTCAATAAAATATTTTTTTCAACTGTGTATTTTTCATCTAACGCCCAATTTTGTCGATGCACCGAGAACAATAATAGTGTTTTATGCTTCTTATTGTTGTGCGCTGACGATTGTTCACGCTTATGTCGTTAAAATATTGTAATTTTTAACTTGAAAATAAAAACAATGATATGGTCTAATTTAATTTGTTATTGTCCACAGAAAATCCGGTGGAAAACGCAGACGACGCCTGTCGACCGGAGAACTTCCACTCACAGCTGTTGACGTACAACACGTTAGTCCGTAAGTATCCAGTGTCTTTTTATTTTGCCTCCACAGTCTTTCCTTTACACCCTTCCGCCTACGTCCAAACGTCACTTCTCATCTAGTTATGCCGTTGGAGGATAACTAATGGCGTGACGACGGAAACGTGTGTACATACAACGGCAGACATGTTGTCAAAGTTGCCGTACCTTTTCCGACGGGCGGCCAACAGCAGTTTCCTCGTCCGACACCGTTTATATTATTTATTGAAGGGCAACAAAAAACCAGCTAATACATTACAAGAGGGGAAGGCACAATTCCCGAACCATTAATCTTCATATTTGTGCCAAAAGTTTGGTGCACGACCGCGCGAGATTCCGTCGCTTTCAATCATATTATGATTGAAAAACTTTTGTATTTTTTTTTTTTTTATCAAAGTCTAATTTTTACTTTTTTTTTTTTTATTATGCCTCAGTAGACGAATTTCGACCCTCATCCCCGCGTATGAATCTTCTTCCTGAATCTTAAATCTTTTTCGCTTGTTAGTTGTTCACAATACATTTTTAATTTACAGTTGATTAAAGTTTCGCGGACATTTTATGTATTTATTAATACTTTCAAGTAATATTGTTATACCTCAGTAATGTTATGATGTTTTTCCTTTTAGCATTACATTATAGTGTTGTAGCTTTCTTCCTCTAGAAAAAAAAATGAAGACTTAGACACATTAAAATATTACCAGATGTTTTTTGTGTTTGTTCGCCGCAGTGGCTTTTTAATATTTTATTTTTTTAGTTTGAAAATATACCTTTACATTAATGTAACGTTTATAGTACTACTATTCTGATAACAATAAGTTTTATTTATAGATATTATTTTTCAAAAAACATTCTTATGCGGTCTTTTAATAATTGGTATTATTTCTTTACATGAATTTTTAGCTCGTGTGATCTTTGAATTTATGTATAAATACAATTTTTAATTCTCTTGTAGTACACTAATATTAATATTTAAAATTAATCTTTTTAAGATGAAATTATGTTATGTTTAAAATACTAACATCGCGAAAGGTATTTTATAGGAAATGCGTGTTCTGAAAACTTTTTACATTTTTTTTAATACTTAATTAAAGCGTTTACTTTTTTTTTTAATAGTTGTGAATTTTATCAAATATAACGTACTGTTTTTTAATATTTTATTTATTCGTTGAAAAAAAATTCTGGAGATTGCATTTATTAAAAAGAAACACAGCGGGCGAAGAAAAAGGCTTGATAATGATTTTAAAGTTAACTAAATGTCTACATTGAAATAATGTCGCAACACTGCAAATTTACTTTATCTTTTGACGTTTCACGAATTATTTAGGTTTCCGCAGACTTATAAATTAAAATTTTCCGTAAAACGATTAATATAAGTGTTCATTTCATTATAATTCCTAATATCATAATGAATTTAAAAACGTCAAAATATAGTTTAAATACAAATGTCAACTTTATAGGATTATTAATTATTTTTTTCATATTAAGCGCTCAAACTAAGTTCGTTAAATCCACGCGAATACTTTAAGAAACAGATAAATAATATTGCGTTAAAAAAGAATTGGACGGATTTTTTTAGTTAAGACGCGTGTTAAATGATACGATTAATCATTTTTGCCAGTTTTGTATATTTTAAAAAGTTTTATTAAACAAAAAAAGATCCAAATAAACTGACTTCAATTTATTTTTTAATAAAAGTTCTTATTATTTTATTTTTTTCATTTTGCACCTGACAAGTACGATTTTGATGTAGTCATTTGTAAGCCAACAAGTCGATAAATCAAAACGTTTATAAGTCAGACCAACATCGACTTACTTTTAAATATTCCTTTTTTTGCTAATTTATACCGACCAAAAGTTTTTCTTTAATCACGCTTTAGTTAGTTTACTTTAAGATTCATTTCCTGACGGTTAATTTCGACGGATAATTTTTACTTATTATATAAGTTTATTTTTTGGTAAACTTATTCGTTAAAAAATAACTTTCACTGGGCAATTGATCAATAAAAAAAAAATACCTATTTTTCAAGGAATTTATAATGAAAATTGTCGACAAGGAGTATTGAAAAAAATCACTTACAATTGTTATTAATAATTAATTAAAACAACTTCATTTCCTTTTCCTTTTTTTAATCTTTAATGTGCCTATTGCGAAAGAACTTAAATTTGTTTAAATAAGTAATTTTATTTTATTTTTCGATTTTCTTATACAAAATATAAACGGGTAGAATAGGTAAAAATAAAACAATATTTTTTTTAACAATTGTTTATGGCCTTGTTTTTTGACTTATCTCTCTGGAAATCCTTGAATCGGAAGAAATATCTTTCATCCAACACACTCAATCTAAATTGTACTTGAAAGTTTAAAGATACGAAAACTGAATTAGTCGTCCCCGTCTCTTCAACTTAGTTAACCGCTCAGAGAAGTTGACATATTTCGCTTAAAAGTTTTAAACTATTAAATCACTGTAACTCTATAAAAAAATTACCCAATCGTGCTAATCTTTTCTCTTTTGTATTTTGCATTTTTATTATACAAAGTGACATAAAAAATTAATTTGATAAAGTTTTCCACTCTGAGGGTGAACAGCCAGCTCGTGACGTGTGGAGCGGTTGGGCACCGCTGTTTGAACGAGACTTAAAAACTAAATTAGGCAATTATTTTTAACGTCAAATTAATTACTTTGATATGCTACATTTTATTTATTTATATTCAATGAAAAAATATTAAATGTTACTAATAGTAATTAGTGTTCTTATGATTTATTCTAATCGCAGCATAAAACATCTCATATTATTATTTTAAAATTCTTTTTAAAAAATCGAATTTGTGTAAATCATATTTTTTATGAATACTAAGCACACATTTTTACTAAGCTGTCGTTTCTACAAGTTATAGTTAATTTTTTAATGGCGATGATGTATTCTTAAAACAGTCGACTTTCATAGCAATTTTTTATAGTATTTTGTTATTAAAAATAAAATCAATAAGCTTGAAACGAATCGTTTCTCTTATAAGACAAAACAATAGACACCATAGTGGCAATTTTTATATTGCATTTGATGAATCGAAGGAATTATTTGTTGTTTTCGAACTTATAAAAAACTAAAACAATACATAAGCGTAAGCAATAAAAATCGTTTCGGTATCTCTTCCCTTTAAAAATAATATTGTTTTCTCTTAATAAAACAAACCACTCGACTATAAATAGGACAACACAACATTTACTGTATAAATAATTTATAAGCTGCAATGAAAACAGACGCGGCTAACACGACACGTTGTGTACGATTCTATACTTTACGCGGCAAATGACTAATAATAAAAAACATTGGTTGTCTCATTAAAACTTTTTAATAATAATAATAATAATATTATTATTATCTATCTGGGCGGTTAGTGTGTGTCGTCGACGGCCGCCGCAAACAGCCTCGTGGATTATTGTTGGCGACCAGTAATAACGCACGCAGTCTGTTCCCAAAGTTTTCGTTATTCCGGAACATTACTTTCGACCGCAAAAGTTTCATAGCTCTCCTGTGCCTCCCCAACACCGCGGCTCTTTCGGGGAGGGTGTAGCATTAAGAACATGTGGGAGATAAGAGAAGGAAGCCGCTTTTATTGTCTATGCCGAAGTGACCGCCGCGCGCTAAACTATATTATGTCGCAATGGAAACCATATCGTACATTATTATTATTCACATATGTCTCACTTATCGTGGTTTGTATTGTTATTACTTAATAACAATAAATTTCACAATAATGATAATGAGTTGTAATCAAAATGTTAAACCAACAAAAATGAAACCAACTAAAGTTTAACACTTTGCGTCTAACGTATTCAATCAAGAACTTTTTCACGCTTTATGAAACATTAACGTTCTAGAAATATTTAAAAAAACCGTACGTGTAGTGGTGTAACGAAAGAATTTTCTTGAGAATATTTTACTGTGGATTATTATGAGAGAATATATTCTACCTGATAAAAAAATAATAGAGCTAAATAACTCCTTTAAGAATATTTAATAGAACTTGAAAATTAATTGAATGAATGGAAAAATAATCATTTTTTACTTGATTCGTATAATCGCATAATAAGAAAAATATCATAAGTTCTCTAATGGCTCCTGAATATTTTAGTACTTCTCTATTGCTTCTTAATGTTCATTTGAGGATCAAAAATTAAAAATAATAACCCTCCCAAAAAACTGTTTTATTGTAAATGCAATTAAAAATTTCCAGTCAGTAAAAATTCTACATAATTGCGATAAAATGGGCTCAATTTGTCCGTTAAGTATAAATTTGGTTACTTCGAAATATAACTCTAAAGCATTTGTAAACTGGAAAACATAAGATTGATTAGCTTTTATTCAAAGTAGACTATATTCTAACTTCGTTTGATCGAATTACCCGAATAAATAAATTTGGAAGTGACCGATTTTATTTTTGTTGGCCAATTCAGGACCATTTTACAATAATTTAAAATATAATATAAACAAGTCAAAAAGTATATTCTCGAAAAACATTACTGCGATGATTTTACATCGCTACGAACGCGAATTCGATACGTTTGAATTGAAATTCATTTCCTTTGTCACGTCTTATAAAAACCAGTGTTGTGATCAAAACATCCGTTTTAAGACGCGTGTTTTACACAATAAAATTATAATGACCGTCGTTTTTATTTGTTTAACAGCTCCTTCGCCCAAAGGTCGAGAATGCCCTTTCTCGGGTAGATACGAGATCAGCGGTGGTCTAAATGGCGACGACGTTGGTAAAGCTCTGGCCGCAAGTCGGCCCGGCAGTGAAAACGGACAAGACAAACCAATGCCGTGCAATCCGCCAGGTAAACAATACTTGACCGTCGGATGCAACTCGGCCGACACGATGGAATTCCAATCAGAATGTGGGACAAAAACGGTAGCCGGTAAGTTCATTAAATGAAATTTATGTTTTCAAATTTCACCCTTTAGCTAACCTTACAGCATTTAAAGGGCTGAAAGTTCGACAGAATTTTTATATACCAAATTTAATCTGATCTCCTTTAGTGTAACGATATAACTAAACGCATTGTACTGAATCAAATATTTGTTTTTTGTAGCTTACACTTGTTATGGTCACTGGAAGAACGAAGCCAGCGGTATTAACTATGTAATATCCACTCAACAGGGACGAACAGCTTCCAATTCGAGAAGATACTGTTTTATCATGTCCCAAGTTAATGGAGCACAGAAAAAGACTTTGAACATTCTTTCCGTTGTAGAATCTTGCCATCCACACACAATCGGTCGACTGCACTGGGCATTCAATATAACACATCAGGGTAAAAAGCTTAGAAAATTTAAAAAAAAAATAAATTATCGAACAAGAATATTATATGTTTTTAATTGTTTTGTATAGGCCTATGTGATTCAGAATCTAATGTGGCAACTGTGTTAAGAACATCGTCAACGTCTTTAGTTATGGTAGTCGTATCGTTATTAGCTATCATAATAAACAGGTGATCGGTTACTGACATCTGAGCAATCGATTAAAAAAAACCAAATTAAACAATAAAAATTGTACACGCGTTGATATGTGGGCTTGCCAAAGAAATGAAAAAAAATTATTGGGTACAATTGATAAAGAGAGCGAGCCGATTTTTATTGTTTTTTTTTTTTTTATTATTATTATTATGATTATTAAATACCAACTATATTGTGATTGTATTTTTAACTATTTTTATTATTACTATTTTCGTTATCCTAAAATTAATCTTTTTCTTTTGTGTAAAGGCTACTTTGTTTCTCTTTGGAATTATTGTGTTAAAATTTTGTAATACTATTGTACTTTGTAAAATTATTGTTTTATCGTGATGGTGCAAAAAACCGTGTTTGTTATGAAATTGTAGATATACACGAATAGAAAAATATACTATTTGATGGTTATTATATAAATTATTATTTTGTAATTTATCTTTTTTTTTAATACTATTATCATTATAAATATATACATAAATGTGTAAATACTAAATTAAATACTGTACATTTTAATAATATCTTGAAAATAATATAAATTATAAAGCGTTAAAAAAAAAAATTGTTTTTGAGGCAATTTGAATACAACACATGAAAACCTAACACATATTCACGCCTGCTTACCAAAACTTCATAAGTTAATTATTATTATTGCATACTTAAACATACATACAAGTATACATTATATTCTTGTATATTGTATTAGTGTGTTAATTTGTTTTAATAAAGTCATTTTAATAGCTCAGTTCTAATATTTTCTAAAAATAATATAATTTATTTTGTATAAAATCCTTAAATTTTAAATGTAAATTTGTATTCAAAAATTACATTTTATACAACATTTGGTTGTAAATGAAAATTGTTATTTATTTATAAATCATTCTTTTCTCTTGCTTAAAAAAATATTATGCTTTATATGTATGTATTGTACCAGCCTTATATTAATTTTTGTTTATTAAGATCTATGTGTTTAAATACACGGTATGTTTACAACTGATGAGTTTTGAATTGATCAAGTGAGTCGAATGTATTGAAAAGAGCTTATTTGAATGGCTTAATAATAGTAAAACTGATTGTTTTACTCTAATCTATAATAAATCTATTTATTTTTTTGATACTTGGGACATTCGACTCTCTCATTGTAGAATTATTTTGAAATGTAAAATGTTCGTTATTGAATGTGTTTAAAATATTTCACTGTTATATCTATATATACATACATATATATATATATATATATGTATGTATTAAAAAAAATAATGAAATTTTAAAAAAAATACACAACTATCATAATATGTTTAAAGCTTTATTTTTATTGAATTATTGTTCTTTTTTTATTAATTAAAACTATTGTAATATGTTAGTGAATTATTCTTTTTTTTTTTTTTGGTTAATCATTATTTTTACATGATGTAAAAAAATATTTATTGAACCAAATAAAAAATGATAATGATATTGCTTTGTGCAAAAACCAATCATTTAAATCAATCATCTGTTTATACACAATATCCTGCCCATTCTGAAATAAACCCAAAGTTACTCAAGTGTAGTTAAAAATTATATAATACTTGTTTGTACACAGTGATCCATATATCATAAACCACTCAATTACTCAAAAATGAATACAATATTAAAAAACAATTGTTGTTCTTTTAGTTGCAAATATTCCTTGATTTATTAGCTACTAATTACTTTTTAGCATCATTCCTTATAACTTATTGGGGTGACAACTCAACTTGAAACCTCCTGATAAAAATTAACTTATCATCTTAAGATAATTTAACACTCTAACACAATCTTAATAATACATACTAAGAAATTTGATGTTTTCAATTAACACAGATTTATTGTTTTATCATAATAAAATTTAATCCTGTTATAATTTCAAAAAAAGATATCATAGTATATTAATAAAAATATATAATTTCACTTAGTAACATATTTTAGACGGGTATGAGTGACCACTAAGTTAGATGCATAATAATATAATAACTATTACACAAGTTAAATAGATAAAATGAAAATAAAAGATTTTTATTAACTTGTTAAATAGATTTCTTTATTTCTTTAGTAAAGACGAATATTAACAATTACTTCAAAAACTGATTCATTATTTTCGCATGATTTCTTAATCATTACACATTTATGAATAAATTTTACACAATTAAACCATTTAAAACATTTACAATTAAAATTATAACTGTAATTATAATAATAATAATAATAGATAGGCTAATCTAATATTTAATACCAGAATCTTTAAGAATGAACGAATAAAAAATAATAATTAACTACCACAACTGTTACCCCAACTTAAAAACTATTAAACACAAAATTGTATTCAATTAAAATCATAAACCAATAATTAAAATAAACATTATAAAGTATACTTAGAGAAATTTGAATTTCTTGTCATATTAATTAATAATTACTAAATGAAAATATTTATATAATAATACACCTAAGTGTAAAATACTTGTATAAAGATCAAATATTTAATAATTAAGGGACAATGGCTTCAGTTTTTTAACTAATAATGAAAATTCATTTTAGGTAAAAAATTAGAAAAACATTTTTTTTTACTTAAAAAAAAAATAGATAATAACTTTATGAGAACTAAAAACAAAACAAAATTATAATTATGAACCATTAACATGCATTTTTCACCAAATACATTTCTGTAGAATAAAATTCAAGAGGATCGCCCCACAAATGATATTTACTTATTTATTATATAATCTTTTAAAATGTTCTTCTTAGATCATAGATTTTATAATTGTCCACGAACATCAATTTATTCAATTGTTGCTGGTATTGTTATTATCCATACTCGACACTCAATTATACAAGAATTCTTTTGATCAGCACTGACAAGACGCTCCCACGAACTAATCGGCTGTACTGGTCCATTGTGAAAATAATCAGTAAGGCTACAAAAATAAAATATTGAATGTATTTCAAAAATTCATTTTATATTTTTTAATTATACAACCAAACATTATATTGAAGCTATATTTCTATATCATACTAAAAACGTTTTATATATTGTTATTTAATCATTTAAACATACCTAACATTGACAAAATAAATACATAAAAAATTATATTAAAAGAAAAATATCAAAAATTATCTACATTCCAGAAGTTTTTATTAAGTTATTTCATTTAAAAAAATAAATACTTTTAAATTATAAATAACTCACTTGTGAGTACAATGTATTTGATGGGTTGTAGAATGAAGTTACAGTACGATCACCTTGGTATGTAGAATCCTGGGACAGTAACCCATCCATTTGAGAATGAAATTCACCCATCATATAACTATCTTGAGATAATTCAGGTTGAGATAAGCCTGGTTGTGATAAACTAAAACCTGGTTGAGACATACTCTAAAAATAAACAGTTGATTAATTTATTTATTGATCTACAAAGTTCGAAATTAAGAAATTTCAAATACCTGGGACATATTTTGACTATAGGGTTGTGAAACATCTTGAGTAATAGCTTGGCTAAGAGGTGATCCTCCAATCCCATTAGGTTTTTGATTTTTCTGATTAGGTTTTGTCTTTAAACGCCCGCTGGTCATTGGCAAACGATTATTACGTACATTTTGACGATCTAAAAATAAATTTTATGTTAATAAAAACATAATTAGCTAATATAATATAAGGCTTATATAATCAATTTGTTACTTTGAACAGATTGTTGATTGAAAAATCTAGGTCCCATAGAGTTCATATTCATAACCATACCAACAGGTATACCGCCAATTTGTGGTTGAGACCTTGTGTCTGGAGTAATAAATGTCAATGGATCATGATTCCTAGCATACAAATCTAAACCTAAACCAACTGGAGCTCCTTTAAAAAAATATTATTTTTATAGTAGTTATATGAATTTTTAATAAAATGTATGTCAATTTAATCAGTATGTTTTTAAGTATCACACCTGGGCTTGGTCTTGGGAAATATTGTGATGGTGTATGACCATTTGGTACATTTCCTTGATTATTACGATCATATACACTTCCTGGAACTAAGGCTTCACGAGCATCATAAACATGAGTATTCATAAAATGTGAACCAGGATTTGCAGCATTTACTAGTTGCTTAGGCTTAGATAATTGAATTAAAGACTCTTTTAAGTTATTTAGTGGTCCTTCTACCAACACATTATTTGCTTTATAATAATTCAACAAGTGGTTCCACAGTTGTTGCTGAAAAAAAATTTACTAGTCAATAAAATACAGTATATTTATATATATATTTTTTTTCTTTATTTGAATTATACAATATTAGTACAATAAGTATAAAAGATGATAATGATTATTTTGAGAAGAAAAAGTGCCTACTGACAAACTCATTTTGAAGTGTTATTTAGTAGTTAGATTATTATTATAATTTATTTTTTTTTTTTTTTTTAATTTTTAATTATTATACGATAAGAAGAATTCTGTACCACTTCCTTTTTAGTCTTTTGGGAGGATTGCCAGACATTGTGGGTAAAGTAAGATTCTCTACTAAAGAATTAGGATAGTTAAGGGAATGGTGGTACCAAGTGTAGTGTTCCTTGGCAACTAGCAATACTGTTTTTAGTTGTAAGTCTGAATGTAAGGAATAGTTTGAAACGTAAGGTGGAGCATCTTATTCTGTTCAGTTTGAATTTTATCTAAGTTCGTTTTTTTTTTTTGCTTTTCCCCACATTTTAATTCCATATGTCCATAGAGGTTTAAGTAACATTTTGTATAAAGTTAATTTTGTATGAATAAATACAATATGTTAAAATTTATTTAATGTGTATTATTACTTTTGATAACACTTTTGGGTTTCCCACAATGAGAATACCATATTTTGCACGAGTCAAGGCAACATTTAAGCGTCTAGGATCATTTAAGAAACCAATTCCTTGATGTTCATTTGAACGAACACATGACATAATAATTAAATCTTTTTCACGACCTTGGAATGCATCAACACTAGCAATTTCTATTTCTTGATAAACTTTTGCTGGGAGAGGTGCCTGATATTGCATGTATTGCACCTAAAATATATGATTATTACAAATATTTCTATAACAAAATAATAAACCTTATTTGAAAAGTACCAAATATGCCCGCTGTCCTTCATAGGGTGTTATAATACCTATTTGATCAGGCTTTACTCCACATCTTAAGAATCTTGTAGCAATTTTTTCAACATTAGCTGCTTCAGTTCGATTCAAGTAAGATGTACCTGATCCAGCAATTTCTTCTTGGCCTTGAGTTACATAGAACAACATCGGTTTATCAGCTACAGGCCAAGGGAATTCAATTTTGCTTAATTTTCTATCATCTGTCATACAATAAGAAAGTGATAATACTTTAGTAAAGAAAAAATTTTTTGTATAATATTAATAAATATTATTAAATGAATATTAAGAAACGTTTATTACCAGAACAGACTCCATTTTGCAATGAACCTTCATAAAAAAAGTTAGAGGGGAATCTAGAAAGTTCAGGATGCATTCTGTATTGTACTTCTAGTCTGAATGGCCTAATACCCAATACAACCAAACGTTCAAATAATGATTGACTTAAACCAGCCCTAGCTGCTTTTTTACACATAACAACAGGTCCAAGTTGACAATGATCTCCAACAAGTATCAGCTAAAAAAAAGAATGTATTATTTTTTTCACTAATTATACTTAAAAAACTTACCTGTTTTACACCTAATACAACCGGAACCATACATTCTGGTTCTGTAGCTTGCATGCTTTCATCAATAAGAATAGAATGAAATTTAAACCTTATTAAACGTGGATCACCAGCCCCAACACATGTAGTACATATAACATCAGCTGCTTTAAGTAATTCTCTTTCTGCTGCCTTTTTTAAAGCTCTATATCTTTTTTCATCAGCCATTGACAATTCACCAGTTTCATCTTTAAGCTGCTGGAATTTTTGAAGTTCAACATTGCTACAAATAAAAAGTTAAGTAAGTCAAATATTGAGTAATACCAATAAACAAAACTCTTTTTATTATAATTATTAATTTATAAACTAAGTCTATATTTTCCTACCAAGACATTTTTCGAACTTGATTATGAAGAGCTAAGAATGAAACAGGAGAATCTATAGCTTCTCTTGATTTAGCACATACACGCACTACCTAATTGCAAAATGGTATATTAATAAATAATTACTAAATTTATTACTATTTAAAAATTGAAACAAAACCACAGGATAAAATTGAAGTATATTTTAATTAACAAAACACTTTGTTGGTTTAACTTACTTTCAAGCCTGTTCGGTGTATTTTTTCAGTTAATTGATCAACAGCAATGTTTGATGGTGCACACACTAATACAGGCCCACCATTAATTTTCACAAGTTGGTAAACAATAGTTGCAGAGGTTACAGTTTTGCCTGTTCCTGGTGGTCCTTGAATTAAAGACAAAGGCCTTTGAACAGCATGCTTAACTGCATATACCTAAAAACATTTATTTTATTACTATGATATTCACTTAAAATAAATATTTCAAACATTATACCTGTGATCTATTCAAATCGGGTAAATTTGGAGCAGAAAAATGTTTGGGCATATGTGATCTAAACATCAAATCATCAAATTCATGTCCAAGCAATCTATGATAGATATATGATGATACAGATGATTCATCAGTAGCAAATCTTTTTAATGAACATTGCATTCTACAAAAAAAAATTTAATATTATCCTAACTTTCTTATTAATTAAAACACACAAACACTATACCTATCAAATGATGTAGACTTCCATATAAAGTCAACAACATAATTTGATGTTATATCAGTGGGTACACCATTATTAATTTTTAATTCCAATCCTACGTCTTCTCCATAATTATCCGGTATTTTAATGACATGACCAATACCAGCCCATGGATTTTCACCAGTTAACCGTAACCGTAATTCATCACCATGCATTAAACGCATATCACCATCTGTTTTAGCTAGATGGAAATAAGCTATTGTTTTCTTGTTCAAACCGACATCCCAACGGACAGTAATGTTTTCTTGGGTTTGTGACTCCTTTAGACGTTTATCATAATCAGCTTCTAGTTTGACTAACGGTCCAAATACATTTTGATATTGAAAGCCGTCTTCATATCTCAATAGTACAATTTGTGGCTCTTCGTCCACTCCAGGTTTATCAAGATCATTAATTGTAGCTTCATTGTTATCTTTCCAAAGTTCTTCAAGCTTAGCTATTTGAGTAGCACTGACATGTCTAGAACGCAATTGATCAGTTTCATTTGGAACCTTAACTAACCAAGTTAAAAAACAACGATCAGCAATTAATGGTTTCCATTGTTCTTGGTCCCTAAATATAAAAAACACATTTAGTATAATTTAAAAAAATTGAATTAAAATTAGTACAAATTACCAATTCATATCTTTTAAGGCGTTTTGTGTAGAACATGGTTGTCTACACAAAAGTATAACAACAGAATCGGCTTTAGCAGGAATAAAACCAAGTACAAATACATTTTTAACACCACACGAATAACATTCTAAAACAGTTTCGCCAAGTGGGCCATCTTTATGTAATGTAACTTCCTTGTGTTTGGCCCTCACCAAATGATTTATTATATGTGAACCAGACGTATTTCCACGTCCATTACAAAACCATTTTTTACAAATATTACACATTACTACACATCCAGGATCATGAATACCACAATATTTACAAGCATAGTAAGGCAACTCCTAGAAATAACAAGTTTTATAGTAATAATTAAGAAATCTATGAATTAAAGAAACATTTATTTTTAGTAAAAAAATTATTGTATCTAAAAATGTTCAATTATTTTTAAACTTTAAAATTAAAAGTTAAAATTCAATTAGTTTGAATAAATTAAAATGTATTAAGTATGCTATATGAATACCAGTAAACCAATTAATATGATTATTTACCTTAGTGAAAAACGAATCTTCATCTTCATCTTCAAATTGTAACTCACCAATTTTCTTTGTTACTGTAATAACATTAGTATCATCTTTATCACCTTTATTGTTTATTAACTGCATCTGAAAAACATAAGGTGCATTTATTAATTACATGTAAGCAATGGTGTTTTTGCTAAAAGCCCATTTTTTATTTTTGGGTATACGCTAATTTGTAAGCCTATACTCTTCAATATAAAGTGTACAATAGTGTTATTTTTCTAATAAATACATTAATTTAAAAAAATGTTAGTAGGTATACATCATATACCCACGAATACCCTTCAAAACTACTACATTACGCAATATATTATAATACAACATAAATTAATAAGAAGTAGTCTAAAATAAAAATATCGTACACTAATTATATATCTACTAAAACAAATACTATCATGTCTATAATATTTGTCTTATATTGTCTAAAATTCTAATACATATAATGAAATTAAGAAAATATTATTAGAAACTATCTAACGATATTGGTCTTTATGTTGACTGTACTGCTTAACTGTAATTTATTGCACACTTCTATGCTCATAGAAGTTAACTATTATTTATCAGATTTGTTCTATTAAAATAGAGATTTTATTAAAGATCTTATCTAATGTGTACAAGTTACAAGAAATATTTAAAAACTTAGAGAAAATTTTTAGAGATTTTTATAAAATTTTTATGGAAATATTGAAAAAATATACTTGATGCGATGACGAATCCATTTGTGACATGGGTGCTTGGCTTTGAGAGGGCAATGTAAAATCAGTAAAGTCAAAATCAGTTCCTTGAGTATCAGCACCGATCATGTCAGCTTCTTCCGTTTCCAAAAACGTCAGAGTTTGAGAACTCGGACCATACGTGTCGACACTCATTTTGCGCGTGTATTAGGTTTTTTTGTGAAATAAGTGTTTGAAAAGTGAAAACGATCAAAAATTATTACATGTGCTAAATACACAAAATGATTTTCATGACAACAATCACTACTTTAAATTAAAACAATATGTAACCATTAACGACAAACGACAACAACACGTATTTATTTCAAAGAAACGTAACACAAAAATAATAACTCCGTCGTGTCGTACCCAAAAAGAATAACGAAAACACGGCACACGCGCGATCAAGGACATAACTACTAACAACTGATAAAAACGCCTCGTCAACCTGCACTCTACCAGACTATATTTCTTGGAATAAAATTTCAAATTTATATTTGTTTTCCCGCGAAATACTATGTTTTTTAATTTAAATACTTAATTAAAAAAAATAAAAATTCCACCAATAAAATATTTGTTATTTTTTATAATATACATTAAACATGTATATACAATGTTTAATATTATCAGCATTATTAAGTTAATTAAAATAAAAACTCATGTATAAAGTTAGTTAGAGTAGATATTAATTTTTATTAGTCTTCCAACTTAATAAAAGCCTTATTAATAAGCAAAAGAAGTATTTTCTTTTCAATAAAAAACTTTATACGGTACAACACTATAACTTATTGTATTTTCTATCGTATGTATTTCTATCGATTCATATACAAAATTATATTTAAATATGGTTGGGTGAAATTATACATGAACTAACAGTAGTCTGAAATTTAGGAGTTATTTACAGTCCAATTTGTTATTTAATGCTTAAATTGATAATATAAGAACTAAAGCTCTTAAAACTTTGGGTTTGTCATTTGCAACACTTACGAATTTAATTACATTTCATGTCTTAAAACTATGTATTGTGCTTTAGTTAGATTAATATTAGAATACAGTAGTCTCCTGTGGAATACTTCGCAAGTTAATTTAATTAAGTCATTAGAACGGACTCAACGCAAGTTACATCAAAATATAAATTATGACTTACACCTCGATACTCTGGTAAAAAGATGTCACATTATAGATGTTTCCTTTATATACAAAATATTAAATGACCAAATTTCTTTCTCTCTGCTCTATCTCAATCTATGTCCCCCAATATTTTTCACTCTTGTCCAACATTTTTTGTTTTATTTCTTAAAACATCTATTGGTTATAACACACTACTAAATGGAATATTTTAGAAGTGTAACAAATTAAGTAAATTTTATTATTTAAGTCTAATAATCTTTCAGTCCAAAAGTTTTATATTTATAAATGGTATATGATTATTTTTCATAGAATAATTTTGATATTTCTTGTATGAAGTTGAAATTAAAATATATATATCAATGAGTTATTAAAATAAAATAAAACTTTTTTTATTTAATTTTTATAGAAATTTTGTACAATTTTAAGCTATAATATTTGTGTATGTATAGAATATAAACATAAATACAACTGAAGTAATGAAATTTTGACAAATCAATTTTGGCGAGTTTCATCACAGTTTGAATCTAACTGTAGTGAACTTGTATTATCAATCGATATTTTAGATGGAGTTCTAGATGAAGGTGATTCTTGTTTTTTTTGCAATAATGCATTAAAGAAACTAGCCAATGCTCTTTCACTACTAGCTGGAGGATTTTCAGCATCTCGCTTAGTAGACAATGGCTTTTGTATTTCAGGAGATTTTCTTGCAACAGGTGTCTGTGGTTGAACAACTGTTTGATTAAGCAATACTAACTGTTTAGCTAAAAATGCTTGTTCATCTTCGTCTTGTAGCTCATATTCCTTATGATTTTTTTCATAAGGATGTGGTATAGCATCACTGTAATGAGATTCTGGATTAATTTTATGCATGTTCTCATAAACTACTGAAATTTTCTTCAATGAATCCCATCCTGAAGGGACAAACACAGAATCTTTTTCTACAATTAATGCAGGTGTTTTAAATGGAAAACGATAAATCCTAAAAATAAAATTCACTTCTTCATATTTTATTTTTAATAATAATTCTTAATAAAATATTAAGCAAGTCAAATAAATATTATTAGTTTAATTTGTAATAAATAAAACACTCAAAAGAAAAATTTTTTTTAACATTATTTTCCACAAGAAAAAGAAACTAATTTAAAAACTAAATAAGTCTATTTCTTCTTCTTCTTTTTCCTCGCCTAAATCCCAACTACTTAAGGTTGGTCACCCTTATCCTAAACTTCCACTTGACACGATTACCCACAACATTTATGCTCACATCAGCCATCCCTATAACGCATTTAGTTATTACCTCCATCTCTTTTTTGGTTTTTATCTACGTCTCCTTTCTTAAACATTAATTTCTATAACTAAAAACTTGATAAGGGAAGTAATAATAATAGGTACACCATTTAAAGTTAATTTATTTAAATCTGCTTCAGAACCTAACTATTATAGTTATTTAATTTATTGGAATTAACTTCCCTGTACTCATTTTTTCCTCTAATATAATAGATTTTATCTAGTTTTATTTTTATTGTCAAATAAAAAAAGTCACTTTTTTTTTAGCATATGATTTTTACCTGTGCATTAAATATTTATATAATAAATCACAGTTTTTATCTTCCATAGCAGATACATAGAATAATGAAGCTCCAAACTGTAAACTAAATTTTCTTAGAGCACACTGGATATAATCAAAATGTTCATCAGAATAGTTATCTATTTCTAAGTTCTTTATACAATCAGTCATAGTTATGACGACAACAACATCTAGCCCAAGATTTCTAGTAAGTACTCCTTCATTAAGCAATCTAACCTTAGGGCATACTTCATGAGTTGGATCTAAATAAGTCATAAGAAATATATAAAATTATTACTATAAAGCTTTTTGTTATCCCTTAAAAGTCGAGTAATGAATTTATGAAATATTATTAGATATTAATATTGGACAGTGCCAATTGTTTACATTTATCTTCAATTGCATTTTTGTTGGGTAAGCCCCATATGAGAGCACTAAATTTTTAAAGGTTAATAATTCAGCACTGAAATAGGCAACATAACTGCTCTTTTTGTCTTAACTAAAATTTAAAAAATAGTCAAAATATTTTTAAAATTTCATTAATTTGATTTCCACACATCTAAATAATAATCAAATTTATAGTAATCAGATCATAATAGAATTGCGTTATACTATATTTCATCCTATTCTAATAAAACAATTATAAATTTAAACATTTTTTATGATTTTAGTTTTTAATTTTCAATTAAATATCACCATATAAAACTTTTTAAATATTAATAAAGTTTAAATAGTTATTGAAATGCTATATAAATGTAAAAAAAAATTGGAGAAAACTCTTACTTATTTTGTATTAATTACATGAGTCTTCAGAAAATATATAAAAAAAATTACTTTTTTAGGTAAAAAGAAGCTATAAAAAAAAAATTATTATACATTTTTTTTTAATCTATGGAAACCCCTGAATTATAAAAATGTTTAATTTAAAGAGTAAAAATTTCAGAATAGGGGGATTCTTATGTTAAGACATAACAACATATGAGAATAGAAAATTTATGTTATTTATTTTAAAACTTGAGAAATTGGCTTTTGAAACTTGAAAATTATTTACCATCAGGAGAACAATAATCAATTATTCTATCAACACATCTATCTCTAAGATTCTGTGTAAGTTCCATTCCCAAATTTAATTTGTCTATGTGGTCCTGCAATCTAGCTGACCAATACTCTAATGATTCCATTATTTTCCAAGGTTGTTTCATAGAGGCAACTAAAATTATTGTAGTATCTTCAAAGTTGTATTCATTTAAAGCAAACTTCATTAAATACTTTAAAGATCTATCTCCATCCAAAGTCCAGACATTTAACTGGGCATTCTCATCAGTGCTGTCATCGCGTATCTAATCTCAACAAAATTATGAATTATATAATAAATATAATTGTTTATTTATATTATTAATTTTTTAGTCTACAAACTTGAATATAACCATACTCCATACCCCATCCTTGTTTAGAGTCTTTTAAACCTTGCAATTTTGTTACTAATGTAGTTTTACCTGATTTACTATCACCTAGCAATAATACATTTTTATTTTCGGGTAATTTTTTTCGACTTTTATTTTGAACATCCAATAATAAACTATTCCAATGATTAGAGTCATTATTAAGTGTACACGTACTAGCATCTAAAATAATCTATCTTAATTAATACAATTATAACAATTTATCCATATAAATAAATATTACATACCCATAATTGCAAAATTAAATTAAAAATAATTACTAAAAATACTGTGGAGAATTAGTTTCTATTTTGAAAGAGTAAAATTAGAAATATTTGGTAATTTATCAATTGTTGATAGTTATCATCAAACGTTATATCACTTATAAAAATGGTATCTTATCATTTAATTTTTTAGACAAACACCACATCAACCAATAAATTTACTATTCAAAATTAGTATCATATATCAAAAAAAATACTAAATGCTTAGTTATCTAATTTTCTAAAACCAAATAAGTTCCCGACTTCTAATAGTAAATATACTCACTGTACATTGTTTTGGATTTTGGATTTTCCTGTTGTGGTTTTAATCTTATTTTTTTATTGTCCAGCGTAATTGTTAGTAGCCCTAAAATAATCCATTCTTACACTATTAAATAGTTTAATTAAAGTTTTAGCATTGTCGTTGTGCCTAAATTTGATTGATTTTATAGGATTGAATATTTAAATTATTTGTGTATTCGATGAATTTACTTTGAATTAATAGAATTCAATAATATTATACTATAAAAAAATAGAATTATTCATTAATAATATTATAATGTCATTTAAAATGATTGGTAAATTTTATAGTAACAATAATAAAAGCATATTAATTTTTTGTGCATAGAAAATTCGATTTTTTAAAATAATCCATCTAAAATAAAAAAAAAATCAATTCATGAAATGTATAAATTCTTTTAAAGCTTTAATAATTTACAATACATTTAAATAAATAACTAAATTGTAATAGGTTCAACATAAATAAAACCCAATTTTTCATTTAACATTACTGTTGGTTTTCTGATTTATTAAGGTAAAAAATACAGAAATGACACCTTAAGCAAAGAAATACTTTTGATAAATGTATTGATATATTTATACCATAATGTTATTTAGTTTATAACACAAAGATTGTAAGGAAAAATTTAAAACAATGGATGTATATTAATTTTAAAATTTGTCTTTATAACACTACTCTTAGATTTGAAATTTATCTGAAACTGAAGCCAGTTTAAAATATATGTTCAATTGAATTCACACATTTATATGAACAAAAGTAACAAATAATACTTCCCTCAACATAAATATTAAATAATTTTTTTTTTATTTGTAACGATTCAAAAACAAAACAGAAATATGTTTACAATATCTTATAATGAAACCATAATAAATAATACAATCTACATGAACATGTAAGCGGAATGTTTCATTTAATGAAAACTAAAATATAAATAGTATTTTGATTACATATATTTCTCAAAAAATGGAATTAAAAAATTGAGAAATATATACATTTTTTGCTTCATATTATTTCTTAATAGTAGCAGCTTTAAAATTCTTGTGCAATTCTGGTTTAATATCATACACAAGATCAAGAATTTCTTTTATAACAGCTTCTTTGTTAACAGTAACAGCTTTGTTCATCTCATCAATTTTAACTTTGGTATCAGCATCTATTCTAGTTGCTACATCTTCCCGTGATCCCATATGCTAAACAATAGTAACCAATTTTAGAATTAGATATAATATTTATATTTTCAAACAATAAACCTTAATCTCAAACTCTTTAAATTGTTTTTCTCGTTCTTGTCTATATTTTTCAATTTCATCTTGTGCTTCTTCTTTAGCTTGCTTCAAGCGTCTTGCTTTTCCTATGCATTTCATATAAAAAGATTTTTGAAATTACTTATTGTTAAGAATACAATTATAAATACATTATAAGAAAAATGAATTTTTTTTTAAGGTAGTGATAAATTGTTTCAATGGTAAACGAGATAATGATAATTAAAATTAGGTGTGGCAATGAACAGGTACCAGACAACTTATAACTTCATTATAATACATATATATTTTAGATAAATATTAAGTACATAAATTTAAACATATAAAAAAAACAAAAATTATACTTGTAACGGCAAAAGTTATATTAAAGTTATCATTCGTCACGAGAATAAAAAAAAAACCACACCTTATAACAAGTACTTACGTTTCTTAGCTTCTGATACTTTTTCCGCAGCTCTCTTTTCAGCAGCTAATAATTGCTGGATTCCTTGAGTTTGACTGGCCATTGTTTTTTTAATAAATTTAAAAGCTAAAATATACTATACGAACACTTGACAAAATTTATTTGGTCTCTTAGATAAAAATTGTATTGCTGATGATAATTTATTGTAAAAGCAAATGGGTGTCGTCAAGATATATATACTAGTCACAATACAGTAATCGCCAAGCCCCTGTTTCCAAGGTTTTATATAATATAATCAGCTGATATTTGAACGATAATCTATTTTTTCATCCATGAATTAACTACTTTTGTGTAGGAGATCATAAATCCTAAAAAATTAATTAATACAGTACAATGATACAAANAACTACTTTTGTGTAGGAGATCATAAATCCTAAAAAATTAATTAATACAGTACAATGATACAAATTTATAATTATAATTATTAATTAACTTTTTTACCCTTCAATTTAAAAAAGTTTTTTGTAAAACTAATTAATTAATGAATAAATTTTTATAAAAAAAAAAACCACAATTAATAGCGAATCAATATTTTTTATTATTTTAAAATGTATTTTGAAAAATTGCTTGATGATCCCCAGTTAGTATACATTAATGTTTAATTATTAAAATATTATTTTAAGTATTGATTAAAAATATTTAGTTTTAGAACAGGTTTGTTTTTAATAAACAGTATGGAAGATAAAAAATTTGTTAAATTATTAGATAGAATGATGAAAGATTTTGATCCTAATCGAATACATTTTTTTACCAATACTGAAATGGAGTCTCTTGAAAAATCACTGAAAATATCTGGTGATCAAGTTCAATGCTTACTATGTTGTTTAAATAACTTGCTTAAACAAGTATGGTCATGTTTAACAATCTTCTTGTTTTATTATCAATAAGATTTATATTTGCAATTTATCTTACAGATTATCAGTAATGTGATAAAACCTGTAGAATTAAAATACTTATTAATAAATTTACTTTCAATAGAATTGAATAAAGTAGACAAGTTTTGTGCGTGCTGGACTGTAAATGCTAAAGAAATTGTAACTCGACTTCAACAAAATTATATGCGTACATTACGAGTAAGTAAATATTTCACAGTTATTTGAAAGTAATATTTCACATTATTTTAATTCACATAATTATTATACAATAGGTTAATAAAATAATTAATGTGAGTTACCAAAGGAATCTCAATATTTTCTTACTTATCTTGAAACTAGTTTTTTTCTTTTTATGGATAAAGTTGTGAAATATATAGAGCCTATTTATGTGGAGTATATAATACATAATGTATAGTAAAAATTTTAATGTGTGTAGTATACAATTCTAAAAATAGAGTTATACAAATTTGTAATTAAAAAAAATCTTTTAAATAATTAACCTAAATTTCGAAGTATAATTTTGTATAACTAAAAATAAATTTCTTGTTTTAGAAGAAATGATAAAACCCGGTCCCACTTTACTGTTACAAAGATCTTAAATTGATAACCAGCTCAATAGAATCTGGGCATAATATGTAAAAGTAGCTACATTGAGTCCTCCCTGTGTGCAGGTGTATAGGGTCATTTTTAAAAGAATATGTTTACCATATGAAAGGAGGAAAATTATTTTAATTCTTCTACTTTTCATAAAGTTATGAGTTTTTTGAAAAAAAAAAGGTTATAGAATATTAACATTTAGCAATTTCGAAAAATCATTATTTTTTAGGGAATTTCCCTTATTTAATGTTACAAAGGTATTCATTAACTAGAAATGATTTGTGATCTTTTGATGTGTTATTCAGTAAAATTTATTCAATGAGAGCTGAGAATAAGTAGTAACAGACAAAACAAAAAATAATAAACGCATAATAGTAAAATTAATACCTTCTCAGGTTCATATTAAAACTAAAACTTTAAAAAAGTATTACAATATTTCAAATTTTGTTATACTTGTAATGTTGTAATGTTTGTATAAAACTTATTTATTCAATTAAAATATAGCCTATAAAAATTAATACAATATAAAGCTACAATCTCCACTTAAAAAGAAACTGAAATAATCCTTTATTAACTTTCTAAGCATATTAAAAAAATAAACTGTAAAGATGAATAAAATCTACAATCTAATTAGTTTATGAAATCTGCTCTAAATGTTTAAATATTATATGATAAAAGGATAAATGGAATAGTAAAAAATTGTTTTTTTAGTATTTAACTTCCATAGATTTAATCTTATGATAATGGTTTTAATAAAAATTTGGTTAACATACCATACAACATTGAAAAAATGTCAACTATTAACCACTTACAGTTGATATTTTTAATTGTTTGTAAAAACTAATTTTATGACATAATTTTTAGTTATTGGATGTAAATTGGGCTTTGAATATTTCTTCAAGTATAAAAGATGGTCTTACTGAACCAGAGCCAAAAGCATTAATAGAATTTAAAATTGAAGACAATCAATCTGCTGATGATCAAAAAGTTAAACATATATATTTTGATTTAGATATAGAAGAATTAAAACAGTTTTCATCTACCTTAGAAAAAATAAAACAACAGTTGGAAAAAAATTCATAATAAAAAAATGTGACATTTCAAATTTGTTCATTTTTATAATTTATTATAGTTTAATTGTTAGTTAGAAATTCCCTGGCTATTAGACTTATGAGACAATATTTTTCTTCATAATTTATTATTAATAATTTTATACATGTTTTAATGTAGTAGTCTACAAATATATTTTTATAATAATTCATTCCTATTATTTAGGCAATTGTCTTTAAAATAAACTATTCCATCCTCCAATAATAATAATACAAATTTGTTTTTTTTTAATAATATTTTAATGGACAATATTGCAATACAAGATAATTATCTTATATTAGCAGTTTCTGAAATATTTTGTAAAATGTTGCATTCCCAAACAATGTATCGTTGAAAAATATCCTATTCTTGTTGTTATAATTTGTAGATAGTTAGCTTATATTTTTACAAAAGCTATTTAGTCATTTATTGTATAATATAATTTAAAAAATATATATTTAATTGACAAAAAATCTATAAATGAATTACACTAATTGAAGTTCAATATCTTTTGGTAGAGGTTCAAAGTATTTTTCAACTGTTTCATCTTTAACATCTTTTATAGATCTGTGTGTCCATTTTGGATTCTTGTCTTTATCAATTAGTAATGCTCGAACACCTAAAGTTCATTAAAAGTAAAATTAAAATGTACATCAATAAATATTAAAACATTTTACCTTCATAGAAATCTGTAGAGTACTTTGCTTCTACACACCTATATGCTAAACGATATTCCATTTTTAAACAATCATTCAAGTCTAAATTTTTTCCATTTAATATTTCTTTTCTAGTTATTTTTAGAGACAGTGGGCTTACTTCTTTAAGAGTTTTTAGTGTTTTTTGTGACCATTCAGACTGATCTTTTTCCAAAGAATCAAAAATAACTTCTACATTTTCATTAGAAAATATTAAATCTATTTTTTCTAAAAATGGTTGAAGACTAAATTGAACATTATTTAAACAATCTGTGTTTTCTTTCAGTACTAACTCTGGATTTCTTGTATCTTCAATTAGCTTTATTTTCAAGTTATTTAATTTTGAACTATTAATGTAATGAGTTGCAATACCTGCTTTAACAACATCTGTACCTTTTAAGCGGTAACCCGTTAAGCCTAACATTACTCCTAAATGTTTTTCCATTCTAGACAAAACATAACTTGCTCCAACATCACAAAATAGACCTATTGCTGTTTCAGGCATTGCAAATAGTGTTTTTTCGGTAGCAATTCTATATTTTCCATGAACTGATATGCCAACACCACCACCCATTGTTATTCCATCAATAAGTGATATATAAGGTATTTTATAATTACCAATTATACTATTCATAGAATATTCTTGTTTGAAAAATTTTGTTCCACGTTCTAAAGAATCACCATTTGGTCCACTTTCAGTTATATACTTAACATCCCCTCCTGCGCAAAATGATTTTTCACCAGCACCATGAATAATAACCATTCTAGCCCTGCTCTCATAATCTTTTAGTTTAGGAATAATTTTTTTAACCATTGATTCATTTAGAGAATTTAATGCTTTTTGTCTATTCAAAGTAATAATTCCAACATTATTTATTTCTTCAAAAACAACATCATCCATCACAGAAGATTGAAAACGTTTACAAATTATAAACCTTGAAAATAATTTTAAACGAGTAGAGAACATCTATAAAAAAATATAATAAGTTTAAAATCACAATAATTTTTTTTATAAATGATTATACATTAAAATTAATAACATATAAACAAATTTAAGTAACTTCAATATTAAATACAAAACAAATATTATCATGATAAAATTTAAAATAATTTTTTTTTTAATTGTTTAACAATACTTACTATTTTAATAAAATTTTGAAGTATCTAATCAAAAATTCAAACTAGTAGTTACTTATGACTTGTAAACTGAATACATTATTGAGCTTATCATGATTCATGCATAATGAATATGTTAGCAGGTATTAATTATGTTGAAATTATTTATTTTTAAAAATTTTAGGTTAAGAATAAATATTACAATATTCCAAAAAACTAAAATCTTAAAATTAATATAATATACATACAACTTCCGTTTATAACTGAAAATCTATAGTTATTATAGATTAAGTTTAGTTTTTACTTGAAACTTTTTTCTCAGTTTAAGAGGTAATAATCTTTGATGTTTAATATACAACTCTTTTTTCTAATGTGATATAGTAATTTAACAACTATAAAAAACTCAATTAACAGATAAAATTTATGTACGTCATAAAGTTTATCAGTATTACTGAAATTTAGTTTTTACAATAAGTAAATAATTATTGGTGTAATATATTGTATCAATATCTTAATCTTCATTGCTAATATTTAATTTATATAAATGGAAATTTAATTGAATTATGATCCAAAACTATAATAGTACAGACTAATTATCAATGCGTACAGTTTATTTTTAAATATGTAACATTTATCAAAATTATTTTAAAAGTATTGCTACTAAATACCACTTAACAATTTAAAATTTGATAGCATTACCACTAAATTATTATACAGTCGTGCACTGAAATAACATAGATGACAACAAATGTATAATAATATTTTTTTCTATATTAGAAATATAATTATTGGTACTCAATGGTTTTAATTAAAAAACAATTTCACGAGTTATTATCAGTGTTTTAATTGTTATCACATATTCTACAATATAACATATATATGCACCTATACAATATTCTGTAAATTTAAGTAGAATCATTTGATAATACGATTGATAATAAAACTGAACAATTTTTTTTAACTAGATATTTGTCAAGTACACTATGTCATTAAGAATTTTTAAAGTCCCTAGTATTAAACATAATTTATTTAGAAATTTATTTGTTAAAAGCCATTATAGTCTTACTAATGAATTAATGAAGCTAAAAATTTTATCTCTTTCAAAAATAAATTCCAAATTATATTTTACTAAAAAAGAATTAAATGTACATTGTGTATCAAAATTTTGTTCGATCGAAAAATATAAGTAATTAATATAATATTTTTATATTCCTTAATCAATTTAATTTATTATGTTTTTTTGTGTCAAGTAACAAAATAAATTTTGAACAAATCTGTAATGAAACATTAGAAGCGTTATGTGATTACTTTGAACATGTTATTGAAGAAAGTCCTCATCTTAATAACCCTGACATAACTTACAGTGTACATATTATAATTATTATTTTTTTTTATAGTATATTCATTATAATTGTTAGAGTATTTTTATTTGATTATTAAATTAAATTGTCTTTTTAGGATGGTGTGCTTACAGTACATTTTGGAGAGCCCCATGGTACATATGTTATAAATCGGCAAATGCCTAACAAACAAATTTGGTTGAGTTCTCCAAAAAGTGGCCCAAAAAGATACAATTTCAATGGTACCAAATGGATTTATAAACATGATGGCATTTGTTTGCATGAATTGCTTAATAATGAAATTTCAAAAATTGTGTCAATCAAAATAAATTTTTTTGATTGTGTCAATAGAAAAGATAAATAATTTTTTAGAAAAATATGTTATTTATTTTGGGCAAAATGATTGAAGATAGGTAGTTTTTAAGATTTATGTATTTTTCAAAAATACAAGTTATTAAAAAATTAACACTTGATTATAAATATATTTCATTTTTTTTTTTTAAATGATAGTCTTTAAAAGGAACTTTTTTAATTATCAATTGCTATCTATTTTAAGGAATCATTTTGTCTGTTTAGAAAATGTATAATAAAATACTTATTGATTTCTACTTGCACACAAGTATGAATAAAAATGGAAAAATATTGAACTCTGTTTTCTGAAATATACATATTGTTATAATTATTATTGTCAAAACACATCAAATGGTATTTAAAAGTAATCAAATTATATTTATTATATTCAATTATTAATTGTCCAGATATTAAAATGTTTAGTTTAAAAATTAGGCAATAATAACTAGTTAAATTTTAAGCATATTATTAATAACTGTTAATAATTTAATCTCTAAGCCATTCCTTTTCAAAATATATGCTTTTTTACAGTATATAATATTAGTTAGATACATTAAAAAATATATTTATTTGCCAATTTTATCAATTTGAAATTTCATGTCCTAATTTGTGAATTGATCCCATTTTAATACCTATTCTCAATAGTTCCTAAATATAATAGAAACTGTGATATAATCATATAATAATTTTATATATAGAGATTTTTTTAATTATAAAAAATATTTATATTTAGAACTAGTCTATGAATCAATTCTTAGTGGAATAATGTAGGTAAATTTACCTACTCACTATTTGTAAATCAATAATTTTGTAATTTTGGTAAGTTTTTTCTAGCTTTTCAATAAAAAAAAAAATGAAGTATTTATATTTGTACATATTTGTTAACCAGAGACAAATCAGTAGTGCAGTCAGGGGTAAAAAGAAGTTTAGGCGTTAAGATTATCTTTCAAATAAATAGTAATGTTTGAATTTTTTAGTTATACATGACTAATTTAGGCAATACAGACAAAAAAAATGTCAAATAGCAGATTAATTTGCTCTTTCAAAACATATCAATACAGAAGAAAATATTTTTGTTGTTTTGAAATTCATGAAATATGGTACCTTAATATCATATTTTTACTAGGCCATGCAATGCCACTTAAGTAATCAGATCTTTAATTTCAAAAAAATGTTCATTATTAAACATGATAATTTAAAAATTTAGGCTCATAAAAAATCGAATATTAAACTAGTAAGTTAACATTACAATTTTTCAAACCTAATTACTTAATTTGAAAGTAAATAATTTATATTTCGTTCAATTTTTGAATAAATTATAAATTGTTATTAAATTAACATACTAAACAGGTCCAAAATTAAGGATGAGCAGTTTATACATTTACTAAGTTGTTGACAAAAAGAAAAAGCATTGAAAAAATTGTTCGTATTTCTTGGTTTACAATTAAATTGTATCTTAGTAAAATTTATTAAGCTATTTGTAAGCTAAAATAACCACTGTAAAAAAAAGGTGTTGAGTATAAAAAAGTAAATTTATAGGATTATACTAGGATCACTAATTACAACGGATTTATATTAGTTTTAAGTTAATTAAAATATTTGAACTGTCTAATTTATGTAAATACATTTTCTATAATTCATTAAACTAAAAATATTAAAATGTATATTATTTATGAATTTAGAGGTCAACATTTTTGAATTTGAAAATCATAATTTCGAATTTTATTATTTAACTTCCGAAATTCGGATTTCCTAAATAATTTTTACTCACAAATTTTTAAGTCATATCAATAATTTTATAATTTGTGGGGTCATAATATGTAAAAATGTAGGCCACTGTATCATTAGGTCTCCCATAAAATTTTTCAAGTAATTAAATAAATAAATAAGATTTTTAAGTAAAATTTCAATTGTAAATTTTTCAATACTCATAAAACGATTTTTCCGATCAGCAAAAGAATAAAACCGTATATTATATTATATGCAAAAAGCATTTTTTGAAAGAGAATAAGGCGGATATGCTAACTGTGGATTACCACTGAAAATTTCTAAATTTCATGGTGACATAACGCCTCACAAAGATCTTACACATACCTGTTCAAATTATCTTAAAATATTAATATTAAAGTACGCCTTACTACTTACTATTAAAGTTTCATTGTTGTCATTCTATATAAAATGTTTATAAAGTAGTCAAATAACAAATAGAAAAAATAGTTAAGGTCTTCGGGGTGTAATAAGGATCGGAATATCGTAGACATAAAGACGACAGGTTCAAGATAAACGTGGTGTGAGTAATAATGTTAAAAGGTTGTTGAGGATCTCGGACGTTTGATGTAAATCCATTGACACTTTTATATTGAAGGTATAATATTTTCTAAAGGTTACTCCCGTTAGCAGGTATATAATAACTATTAAGAGAGTTTATTTCTGCGAAAAAATCTACAGGAAGTAAAGATTTTCTTTAACTAACACGTTTTAATAATATTATTTTATGATNTACAGGAAGTAAAGATTTTCTTTAACTAACACGTTTTAATAATATTATTTTATGATGTGTAACATATACATTTTCATTTTTTTAATTATTATAACCACAAAAATTGTCTTAGAAATAATTCAATGATACCAAAAATAAAAGTATCGATGACAACTAAAAATTGTAAATTGCGTTCTGTACAAAAAATATCCATTGACAATAAAAAAAACTTTCAATAGAAAAATGTACTCATACTTGAATATGAGATAACTCATTAAATATGAAAATATTAAATATGTCATTAAAACCTTTTAAAAACTAATAATAATAATAATAATCATCTAGTTAAATTATTTTTATATAGAATGTTAGGTAAATAAGAAAACATATCAATTGTTACAATCAATGATAACAATAGAAACTCTTTTCGTTAGAAATCCGACCCTTAAGGCTGATTTACACGATGCCAGTTGTTGGCATGCCAGCTGGTATGCTAGCTGGAAGGTCACTGGCGTCTGTCAACTGGAATTGGCAACCGACTGGCGCCTATCGTTTACACGATGCTGGTTACTGGCAGACACTAGTAGCTAGTGGTAGTGTATTATCAATTCAAGTACTGAGTTGTAGTGTACACGTTATCACGTCTTGTATAAAATATAAACATCGTCTTATAATATTTTAATATAGTTATGGCGGAAATAACATACAGCGATACATTTAAAAAAGCAGTGTGTTCTATTACTACACTATTGTGTGACGAGCTGTTGGAGATATGTGAAGAAGAATCGAAGAAGAGAAAAAGAAAAGTTTGGGTTAGAAATTGGATGGATAAAAAGAAATATGGAGCATCAGAAACAATTATAAGAGAACTTAGAGACAATGATCCACTTGANTTACATATTACCTATATGTATCGTAATTACTGTTGAATTTCTCATTACATATATTTTTCTTATGTTGTGCAAGTATTATCAAAAAATGTAATGTTATCTAATAATATAATAGCATATTATATTATTTCTATCCGGTCGGGGTATGGTTTTAATTAACTAATTAAAAAGTAATGGGATTTGTTTTAATCCTTCATAATAATCATGAAAATTTACATGATATGTAAGTACATCATGCTTATTGCATATATGTAAAGTTTCATATTTAATTATTTTTCAATAAACTATTGAATAAACGTTAATAACAAATTATAAATATTTTTGATGCATTAACTGAAAGTTCCATGCCATGCCAGGGGGAAATTGCTCTAAAGGACGTATATATTTCCATAAAGCGCACAAATATTTTTAGGAGCGAGCTGAACCGCTACGGTTCAGCTCACTAATTGTAGCAATTATTGCGTCTCCTGTTATGTACTACGGTAATATAGTCCATATACTGTATGCTCTACATTGTTGTTATTCAAAACATTTTTTAGATATTTTTGTAAAAAAGATGTTAAATTGTAAAATTAGAACATTTGATATCATCTATAAGAAAATATTTTCATATCATAATTTATCAAATATTTATGAATTATCATATTCAAATTTATGAAAAATCATAGATATTTATAATTGATATTTATTATCAATCATCCAATGAATAGGGATACAGATCATATCAAAATAAACGCTATTAGATTTCACATCTATGATTATAAAACATCAATAAAATAAAAATTATTATTCATAAACTTTGATGAATTCGAAAAACTTTTTGATTATATAAATTTGGCTGGTTATATAATGTAGACCATTTATTTTAATAAATGGTATTTTCAGAATTTTCGTTTTTATTTATAAGAGTTCTCATTACAGAATACCCTTGAGCTTCTGACAATTAGCTTTAATGAATTCTAATAAGACAAACTTTTTTTGATTTCCTGTGAAACTAATATTTAGTAGTACTCTACAACATTTTACCTGTAATACTTTTTATCATTGACTTTTTGATTTAAGTTCAATTAAAAAATGCATAACTGATTATGTAAAAAAAATGAAGGGTATTAATAAAAGTTTTAATGAAAATAAAAGAGATAAACGAAAAGTAATTTTTTTTAAATCGATAAGCTTTTCATAATAATTATAAAGAATTGCACGGTAATTTGGTAACCCTGAAAGCGCACACACTGCTACCCCGGTCTGGTCTCAGGTAGTACAGCTCTCCGCCACTGCATTGTGTGTGGTGTGTGTATTTAGTATTGTCCTCGAGGCCCTGCACTCGCCAGTCGATCATTTTGCGCCGATTGAAGCGCATATACGAAAGTTCGGCGAGGAATAGCGTTCTACACATGTAAACATCCGTAGTGTTATTTTCTTTCCCGTTTGTAATAATTTTGTTTTGTTTTGTTTTTTTTTCCAAAAATACTTGACTGTAAACATTGAAACTATTTCTCTTGTGATTGATCAGTGTGTTTGTCGTGTGTTGTGATTTTTTTATTGATCATATTTAAAATCGTTGTGCCCCGCTCAAACGACTGAAAAAAAACGCTCAAATTATGGTCAAGTGGTGGCTAGCTGCTTTGCTGCTGGTTACCTGCATTTCAGCCTTGGCAGATGCCAAAAAGAAATGGAAACCCGATGAAGATTTTGAGTTCGAAGAGGTGAGTTGTATACGTAGATGAGAATTATCTGATTTAGGTTTACCCTCGGTGGTAGTATTCCGCTGACAAAAGTCTATTGTATCGATGTGTTTTGAACGACTGGCACGTTTTCGAATAAAAACAGCTCTTTTTTCCCCATTAGGACCGCGACGATCACAGCTGTGTTGACCGGGTGTAACCAGGTGGCTCGGTGCATTTTCTTTGTTAGATAGTGTCCGCCGTTACTGGATCTACAGCCTCCGCCAGTATCTTCAATACGATTTTTTCATACAAATAACAAGTATTATCAATACCATTCCAAACATAATTGTGTGTATGATTTATGTATAATTTCTGAACTTATTGTTAATATAACGAACCTAGAGGCCAACCATGGCCTTTACATTCTATACCTACAAATGTTCGATATTTGTTTTTTAAATTACGGTTATAATATTAGTTGAATTATCTTTTTCTCGCATGTACATTCTTTTATGTGAAATAATTTTATTCGATTATTTTAAACCTGACACTATTTTTGTGCTCTTAATTATTTTTTTAAGTACCCTCTAAAATTACTACGAAGGTTATTAATGAAAATGAATCATACTATTATATAGTAATTTAAAAGAACAGGTTTCAGTTTCTCCCATCCGCATCACTTTGTATTAGATAACAAGACGTGGAAAATACTCAATAATATTATGACTAGAAAAATTTTCTTCATTTATTTACATTTCAAATATATAAAATTGTCTAATTACTATAGATTCAAATAACTTCATGTACGTTTATAAACGCTATACATTTGAAACTACTGTTCATTTGTTGTTTATTCATTTTACATATACTTATTATTAGTTGATACTCTATTATTTGGCGCTGTGAGATTTGCGGCTATTTTCACCTTAAACGAGACTTCAAATTTAATATGTTATTAATATTTTTTTATAGTCGTTATTATTATATATATATATATTTTATTATTGATTTTAAAGATAAAACCTGGTTAATGGCCCGTTTTAAATTTTAAAAATATCTGTTGTGGAATTAAAATAGTCATTAACATTCAAAAAGGAAATGGATGGTGGTTTTATTGTGAATAAAGTGTAATTTATTTAACCTTTTTTAGTCGATTAATGAGACGGTAGTAATACTTCAAAGCTCTATTTCGTAGTCATATCAGTAGACTTAACAATGATATCAATGACCAATAAGTTGGTTGTAGTCATAACAACAAAACTATTTTAATCAGTGTTACAATCAACTTAAACCTGAGATTGTGATAAAAACGCTGTTCTTTTAGTTAGTGTAAGAATTGTTGTTTTCTCCATACTTGAAGTTATACTATTCTATTGATGATTCTCGATGAGGGGGCGGGGAGAGACATATTAGACTGGTTTTTCGTTCGTAACAGGTTTTCTCGAGAGACCTCACACTAGCACGTGTGTAAGAGTGTGTACTATAGTTGAACAGGTCATCGTCGGCTTCGGGCCTCTCTTATTAGTTCAAATAAAGCTATAAAAGAATGACAAAGACACCGATCGTTGTTGTGATCCTTTGCCAACCGTTAGTAGGTTTTACGTGTCTGTGCATAATAATGAGTTTTAAGTGGGTCTTTTTTGTCATCTCCAATTTAAATAGAAATAAAAATAAAAGGGTTGAAATATTGTAATATTCATTAACACTAGAGGAGAACATCAATCCGAATTCTAAATATCCACAAGAAAAACATCTTAAGATAGGATACTAAAAAAAAAATACTATTTTTATATTAAAAATAAAGTTTCATACTTATTAATTTTAAGATACTCGTTCATAAAAATAAACATGAAAGTTTTTCCGTGATTAATATTTATTTCATTCATTTTTAATTTTGCTAAACTATATTACAAATAATTAAATAAAGTATAGTTTTTAAAAGATTTCAAAGAGAAATGTATATATTTTTTATTTTCAAGCATCTAGCAGATATTTGATATTCTTTTAAAAAATACATAATATTTTTGTCATTAACGTAATTAATTAAATTTTTAGTTATTAAGAGTATTATTTAAATACCCTGAAATACAAACAAAATAAATGTTGAGATTGAAATTCTATTTTTTATTTTTTTCACGATTTTTTTAGTAATATTAAAAGTTTTAAATCATTAGTAATTAATTTTTTACAAAAATATTTAGATTTTATTGTTATTTATTTTATATAAAGTACTTTTAAATATTAGCCAAGCCTATGAATTTGAACGATTAAACTTTTAAAAGATAGTTTAGACAAATATTATTGGAAGGGTTGATTTTATAATTATTTGACTCCAATATTTACAACTTTACTGTAAATATTTTTTTTAACTCTTGTCAATATGATAGTATTTTCAGATACAAATTGGTTAAATTTTAAAAAGCTTATAATTTCAACGCCACAGTATTCGAGATTGCATAACTAATTCAATTACATGTTAAAATCGTAAAATAAAAGCTTCTTTTATTAAATTTGTGAATTCTGTCCCGCCTTCAATTGTACTATTTATCGCTATTTAACGAGAACGAAACTTTTTTTTATAATACTAATTTGAGTTGATTATAAATAGAAAAATCATTATAGTATTAAAACTTTAAGTGTTAAGATTCCTTATTATTTACTATTTTTTGCTAAGAATGATAGATAGATGTTTTTGCTACAGTTTTAAATCTGTTACATTAGCTATTGTCTTTATGTAATCGATCATTATAGACAAGTAGCTGGTAAGCATTTATTGACGGGATTTGTACTTTCTTTCATGATAACGAAAAAATAGACAGATAATATATTATTCGAAAAAAGAAACGTTAGTATAGTCTATAGTTCTATTAGTATATTATAACTATGACATTTTTAATGAACTTACGTTAATAAATGTTTTGTAGTACAAATAAGAAAACTGTTTAGATTTAAATTATTATTATTGACTTAATAAAAAAAAAAGTGTTATTTAAATAGTTATTAAGTATTTTATTTGCAAAATGGATAATAAGAATTGCATTATTAACTTGCAACGTTATTTATGTACAAATAATGATCTCATTTGTACAAAATAGTATTTTTAAATAATTTACCGGTAAGATTTATGAGAGTTAAAATCTATTATTTGATGATTATAAAAATCTTTAGTTTATTTTTCTTAAATCTATCTTTATGGTCTATAAAAAAGGATACGATTTTAAAAATGTATTAAAAGTGTTTGAATTAGAATTAATTATTTTATTCAACACGAAATGTCTATATTTAATGATAATGGTGTAGTATTTAGGACAATTTCCATAGTATAACTTTTTATAATAATTAATTAGTTGCCAAGGACGAATTTAAAAAGAGCTAATAAAATAATTTTTTTCTTCTAGTTGAATGTTTTATAAAAATATTTCTATACATGCATTTTTTATTGTTCAAATTACGTATAAATTCACTAATGTTCTAAAAATAACGGTTAAAATGTTAAATTAAGGGATGGGATCATTGCACATTAAATACAAAACCATTCATTTTTTTTCGCTATTTAAAATTTTTTAGATTATTCACTTACTCTTTTTTTACAATCAAAATATTATAATTTGCATAAGAGGTATGTTCAATGAACGCCAAAGATGAAAATAATAAAATATTAGTACACTAAGGTACTGATATTTTAAATGTAAAATTATTTGTACATACTTATAGAAACTCAATTTAGCTGCATTATACTTTTATATTTATTTCTGACATCTTTTTTCACGTCTTTTTTTACATAAGATTAAGCTTACACTCAGTATGCATCTGGCGTACCCAATCTATTATATATTCTCTGATGATTGTGACAGAATTTATTGGCATACATTACATAAAATAAGGCGCTTTCCGAAACTCGTCAAAATATTAAAACAATTGTCTTCAACTATTTAATAGTTAATTTTATTATTATCAATAGTAATAAACAAAATTAATTATATTAATTTATTGCTTTTATTTGAAATGACTTATTTGTTATTTGTTTGTTGTATTTTTTTACTTACAATTCTAATGAATTATTTAAATGTTAGAAGTTTTTCAGTCATTCATTTGATTTTATACATCAATAGTTCTTTACTTTCAGTCATAGTTGTGTATGTTAAAATAAAAAATATCACTTTTTTGCTCTTTGTATGTTTCCAATGTTTATGTTAAAATGCTCAGTTAAATATTACTTTTATTAATTATGATTATTATTAAAATGGGAACCTTATTCCAGTATTTTTTTTTTCGTATATAAATGACTAGATATTATTTTTAAAAAAAGTTCAATAATCCCTTTAGATTATATCAGTATTGAATTCAAAAATATTTTCTACAATTTTCAACTCAATATTTGACTAAACATCTCAATAAATTTCTAAAAAAATTATATTGTCACTGTTGCGCTAAAATGGTTAGAGGTTATCAAAATGCCAGTGAGGACTGAAGATCTCTTGAAACATACTAGGAGATTTTAAGTGTTGAAGATTCAACACTAGATTATTTACCTAAAGACAAATTATTATTTATTTACTTCTTATTAATTTAGTAGATATCGTTACAATATAATAATAATTACAAATTATCTTGTATATACAATATCAATAACATCAATTGATATATGTATATTTTTTTAACTAAGTATATATTATGCAAATAAAATGGATACATATTTATATGGTGTTTTAAAGAACTTGCTCCCGTTGCCCTCCCTTTAGAATGGCTCTTATTATTTTGTGTACTTGACTACTGTTTTACCCTAAACAAGATTATTGCTATGAGATTATATAATATGAGGATTATAAACAAAAAGGCTAAAAAATTTTTTTATCTTTTGGATAAAGTTAATTCTGTAACATTTATTTAAATTACCTGATAATCGAAAGAAAAATCATTTTTGTAGAATAGGTTGGATTGATTGTAGGTACTTTATATGTGGCTAAACGTCCGTTTACTTCCTTAAATAACGGTGTATTATTGTTTTAGTATAAAAATTCTCTGTTTCAAGGCTAAAG